TTACGCAAAACTTCTAAGTATCACTTTCACTTTAGAATCACCCAAGCGACATTCCACATTACTTCTCCCCAATTTATCCCCCACATTTCAACTATTTCGCCATAGTTGTTGAAACCAACGTTTCCTGTTTGGGGAATGTTGTTCATATACATTCATGTATAAGGTCAAAATCATCTCTTTTGGGAAGAGTGGATCAACATCAATAAATATTCTAGCTCTCTGACATAACGTCAATATATGCTAGAGTTTACTCATAAGTTATACCCTTGGACTGGGTTAACTCCACAAGGTTTAAGGACTCTCACTTTCTCATTGGATACCTTCATACTATCAAGTATGACTTCACTTACCTTTCCACTTTTGTCTTATGGATAGGTTGTGTCCCATTGTAGGGTCTTGAGATAGTAGCCGAAACAATGGCTAGCTCTTCTCCCCCACAATTCTACCCTTTGCCAAACATCATGGAATAATCCCATTTATTTTCCATGGTTTTTCTTATTGAACTTGCCAACCACTATATGTATCTAATTGTTTACCAATGGTATGATCTCACTCGATTAGCATACCACAAACAATTCAGATTTTCTTAGAAAAATCATCCAATTACTTACCAATGGTATTGATCAAGGCAACTTGAGACGTCATAAGTAATTCAGATGCATTCCAGTAATGGAAATCCCATCTAATTACTTTCCAATGACATATATGTAACATGATATACCACAAGTAATTCAAACGAATTTCTAATTCAATTGTCTAATTACTTTCCAATGGTATAAACTTCATAAATATACCACAAGTAATTCAGTCTTTAATTTCAATAAGATCATCTCAATTGAGCTCTCATGCCAAATTGTTTTCCAATGATATATATCTATATATACCACAAACAATTCTGTCAATGAGCTTCACGTTGATAATCATAGGTCATAAACAATTCTGACCTAATGCTTATTTTGATGACAACCATCATTTGGCAAGCTTATTAAATCCCTATAAGGATCAATCATAGCTTCATTTTCCTTGCCCTCATGGCATAGGAAACATCAAGTCCTAAACCACATACATGATAAATAAATTATCATGTCTTCACAACTATCACAGGAACTAGAATTCCTTATCGCTTGTAGCTTTCTCGTAATGCAATCCTTAAACGTGCATTAACCAAATTTCATCTCCCACACATTGGAGGTATACTCTTTCAAAGTATGTCCAACATACTATGAACATTACGTTTGCAACCATTCCGGCTTAGATAGACTTGACTCACAAGTCCCCACTTGCCACACTCCATAGGTTTTACACACCTATAATTGTTCATATTCTCCCACTAGATAGTTTACTACTATCCAAACCACCGTTACTTAGAGTCCATGAAGGACTATCATAAGTACTTCCATCATCTCATGCATCACCTTGAATGAAAAAGTGACCAAATTAAATTGGAACAATTATCATTCATCCATGCCACATAATTGAGATGGACCAATGCAATAAAAGCATTAAAACTTTGTGGTTAATTTTGGAACCAAACAAACTCGTAAGGTTTTATCCAACTAATTTTCCACTTGGGAGATAAGAACATTTGTCCTTTATTCATCATGTAAATACACGACTTACATAGGCACACACATATTAATACCATATGTATATATACACACGCATACATATGTCTACTCCTCAAAGGAGATTACAATACATATACAAGAATCCTAAGGATTCTTGGGGTCGAAGTCAGGATCAGAGAGGCATTCATCGGTCTCTATGTCGGAGTACTCCTCCTCGTTCTCCGATTCCTCAAATTCCTCTTCTTCCCCCACTCTCCATCGAGTCCACATGGGTGCCCACATCGTCCACATTAGGACCCATTGAGTACCAATCATAGATGGGTATATCATCTAGAGTCCAATAATTGGTTGGATGCTCTCCACCAATGTCATTATATAGCAGATCCCCGCTATCGTCATAAAAGTCGAATCATTCTTCATTGTCAAACTCCATTTCGAGAGTAAAGAGATCAATGATCTCTGGATCTGATTCGATATTGATGACCTCTATGACGGCATCGTCATCCTCGTGAGTTGGACTCCATACATTGAGGGGACTACTAGCCATGTTGTTTCTAACAGAATGAACACACTTAATTGAACACATAGCCAATGCCAATTCTCTTTATAAAATCCAAAAAGCCAAATAAAGGAAACAACAAAAGTAACTTCGGATGGCCATTGAAATTCACATGTCCACAGCAACCAAATCTCCAAATAATATAATTAGCATGTACTTCATTGCCATGCATGAAGATAATTATATCACACAGATATACATACGACACAATTCACGATGATATATACATGTATGAACCACCACCATTCACATGTAAAAGGGGGAACAACAACCAAATTCCTTTCAAATGACATGGAGATAGGGTGTTACCTGATTCTGGAATTGAATCGCGAATGACACTTTCTCCTCTTGGTAACCAAACCAACGAAATTGAATGAACCCGTAATTAAAGCATAATTATATGACTCGGTTGCTATTCCACAGGTAATGGTAATATATATAATTCATTCTCAAAACCAGAATTAACATCAACCCACCATCCATTCTATCTTCTCAACGACAGTGGAAACCGAATAGTTGAAAACGTGTATATATACATATATATACACCTTGCAATTCAACCATTATCAGTTGCGCATGCAAATATTCCAAGTATTAGGGTTCTTATGCAACGTAAACAATAACCAATAAACATTAAGATTCTTTAAGATTGTTGGGAAAAATTGTTCACGTATACTATTTTCTTGCAACACAAGCAAACACATAAGATTAAGGAAAACATGTAAAGACACATGCAAGCGTCCTAGCCGATAGAATTCACTATCTCTCCTTAAAGAATCTTATTCCCCTCAAGTACCCAAGGTTGTGGAATGATTCCTCCCAGGATAGAAAGGACGTACCTTTTCCGGCGTAGCGGTACCTCAAACCCCGGAAACACCATCGAACGCAGCGAAACGGCGAGAACCACACTTGACTCTATTTTCTCTTTGAAAGAAATGCAGAAAAACTAGTTTTGGATTTTGGTAGAGTTTCAGTACTGGGAAAAATCCATGTAAAACTCGTTGTTAAAACAAGAGGGGGTATGGTGCTATTTATAGAAAATGAAGGGATGCATTGAAAGGAGGCAACTCTTCATATGGGTGGTTACACCCCAACCATTGCATTGGTTCGGCCTCATGGAAGTTGGACCGGTTTGGTTATTCCAACCGCCACATCGGTTCGGTTTCGATTTGGTTCAACTCGGTTTGGTTTGGTCCATTTGGTTACACAAACCAATTTAACCAATTAACCACATATTACATCAAATCGATCGAATTCGAGGCCATGCCTTCCCACATCTTACCAACATGGTACTTCAAGAGACTCTCTTGAAACTTTCCCCTTTTATTTCCATTCACACCACTAAAAATCCCAACATCTTTCACTCACTTTCATCAAAATAACAATAGATAGTTATATATATTATGCACACTAAAATGGTCAAGTAAATTCACCCACAAAAAAAAAAAAAAATGTCCATGTGACCCGGGGAAGTCATCTTGAGCGGTGCAATTGTGCAAATGGGACTATGAGCTTACTCCGGCATATGGATCATGGAGCTAAGATTTTCGCCTTTACCCACCATTACGCTTCTACCCATAGACAAGACTTTGCTTGCACTGCTCCTGAGTTATAGTTTTAGCTTAATTCTTTAGTTCGTCGTCGGTCGAGAACAACCACCAATTATCGACTAAAGCAACAATCGAATCCTTTAAAATAGCGACGGTGTGTTCGGTGTTCCCTGGAATGTGACCTTGGTTAAGAAATAAGAAGTTACCACTATACTTGAATACGTATCTATAGTAGTATACTCACACTGAAGAGGGTTGATAGTAAAAATCGCAAAAGAAATAGTATCCCGTGTGTGTGTGTGGCCAATGTTGTAGGTTGTATAGCATAAATGGGAGCTCTGAGTCTGAGGAACGGGGTACCCACTCCACGGGACAACGGGATAGCGCCAAACCTCCCGCATTTAATTCATAGTTACGCTTCCTTCCGCCCCCACTGCCTTCATTTAATGCCCTGCTGCGGTGCGGCCCAAACTACCCCCGTTCGTTTTTATGCATGCCTTGCCGACACCAATTGCAAATTAGGAACGGCTTAAGCTGCTAAGGGTAAATTGCAAAGGTTGGTTACTGGGATTACTAAAAAAATGTTCATGTTTGGTTACTTGAAATATTCAATTTCATTCGTGGTTACTAAGATTAGCTAAACCTTTCAAGTTTGGTCACTCTCCGTTAGTCTCCGTTAACGATGTTAATTTTTTTTTTGTTGATATGGCTAACAGACATGTCTAATCACCCAATTTAACCCGACATATCATATAACCCGACCCCGCCACATCAGACCCACTACATAACCTAACCCAACTTAATTCAACCACCAACTCAGCCCTCTCTTCTTTAACATTTTAGGCAAAATCGACCTAAATCTCGCCTCACTGTGATATTACAAACACTTCGTCGTGATTTGGAACACGGGCGAGGAAGTGGGTTAAACACCGCCAAAGCCGCTGATCTCAATCTCCCACCTCGAGCCCCGCCCTCTCCAACTGACATATTCGGACGATTCTTCGTCGCCAAATCCACCACCGTCGCAGTCCCCTCAATCACCATTGAGATCTCCATCGGCTACAAGCTCCCCGACGTCATTCTCTTCTACTCTCTCCGGTGGCGATCTCTTGATCCCGATGACTAGACAGGTGTTAGTGACGTGACGGGTCGAATTTTACCATATTTGGATTAAATTAGGTTTGACTAGATGATTCCGTCTGGCACATCAGTACATAACAGTCTTCTTTAACGAAGACGGACGAAGACTAACTGAGAGCGACGAGATTTGGACTTTTTTTTATCTAATCCTAGTAACCACAAATAGAATTAAATATTTCTAGTGTCCAAACATGAACGTTTTTAGTAATCTCAGTAACCATCCTTTCAATTTACCCTTACATAATAGTTAATTGATGAAACCTTATAATAGTTTTTTGCTTGCATAACTACAAATTCTACTATCACAATTAACAAATCAAGGAAACCTTAACCTTTAGCAGCAGCATATTCCATTTTCCAAAATTAATTAAAAAGTATAATTAAAACGAGGGTAGACCTGAGTCAATACCCGAACCACCACCCTTGCCTTGTGCTAAGGACACAAATTTTTTCATGGAATCCTTACCACCATGCAAGGAGTTTACCCAAACGCGGTTGGTTCGTTCTTGACTCCACCACCCAAACCCAAACCCAAACCCACTCGCTTAATAATCCCGCGCGTAACGTACCACCACCACCACTTGCCAAAGTTACTCCACCTCAACCACCAACAACAAAACCCAAATCTCCCGTCAGCTCTCGCAATGAAGTGCCGCCTTGATCTTCTGGACGGTGCAAGATATCAGGTTATTCACCGTCTCCACCGACTCCACCGTCAGCTTCGCCGTCGGCAGGCTGTTCACCAGTATCTGAAATGCCACCGTCAGCAGGGAACCGCTCACCCTCTGCCCCTTCTCATCTCCACCACCACCCGACGGAGACCCGCCGCTGCCGCCGCCTTCTGGGCCATCGGGAACGATGGCAAACCCAGACGGGAGGAGGGCCACGTAGGCCGAATCGCCACCGTTCATCACCACGTGCATCGCTGGAATGTCGACGGGCGCGTACACCACAAGCGACCCCGCCGCGTCGATGCACGTCTCCTGCAGTATTAGCATGCTGCTCTGGTTCGCGTTCATCGCCTGCATTGCATGCCCAAAACATACCCACAAAAATTTCCAGCAAAAAATCAAAATTAATATAACGATAAATAAGAGACAAAAGGCTGTACAAAAAGTCAGAAAGCTGACAAAACGTTTTTTTCTTTTTTCTTTCCCCAGCCTATATTTTTAACCATTTTGACTTTTGGAACACTTGACGTAAAGAAACTATATTATGTCTGTCCCCATTTCTATTACAGAACCCGCCAAATTAAATCCCGTCTTCTTGGTTACTTCCAAGCCTACACCACCCCTCTCCTCTGACAAGATCTGAATCGGATTATTCACCCAAGGGCTCGATAAGTCCTTTTCCCCCCACCCTTTCAAATACACTGATTTCTATTATTATTTTCAATTTCAACCAGAGAAGAGACGACTGACGAGAACTGAGGGAGAGAGAGAGAAACTGGGTGGTTACTTACGCTAGCGCGGAGGAGGGAGACGCAGTTGCCGTGGTCCTGGCCCTTGGCGATGTGGGCCATCTCCTGCATGGGCCCGCCGTTGGACAAGATGTCCCACTCGCTCCGCAGCCGCTCGTCGCGGAGGAAGTCAAACAGCCGCTGAGGGGACACCGGCAGCCACACCGACGTCGCCGCGCTCAGGACGATCCCCGGCGGCTCCCCTGGGTCGTCCACGCTCTTCCTCGTCATCACCCGCACGTCCTCGTCCACGTTCCCGGCGTTCAGCTTGTTCCACTTGTGCACCGTCGAAGCGCACACCCCGGCGCAGAAGTTGTCGGTCATCCTTTGCGCCAGCTTCAGCATGCTCCGCCGCCCGCCCGCAGTTATCGCCGCTGTCCTCCACAACCCATTTTTTTTTCCTTCAGTTCCCAACATATTTTGTCATGGATTATAAACACTAAATTAAATGTTTCGGTTCTGTTAGTTACCAGTATGGTCTCTTGAGGGCACTGCAGAAGACATGAGAATTGCTAAACACTCGCATTGGCGTTGGAGGGTGGCAACCCATCTTTGCGCACCGAAGCCCATGCCGGAGCCGATCAGCGGCCGGTACAGCTGGTGGGTTTGAGTTTCATCGTACTCTGCGTGTTCCACCCACGTCACCTGCAATTCATCATTCATCTTTATTATCAACTTTATACGATTAGCCACAAAGCTTTTTTGGAGTTCAATGTTATTTAATGACGGCATGTGAAGAAGACCAAATTAAATTAATTACTGGTTTTTGACTCTCTTTTAACTTAAATAAATAACAACAGAAAACAAAACAAAATGCAATTAATACAAACATATGTACATGTCAACAAGCCGTTATAAAATCAACTACTCGGCATTAAACTTATAATTCAGAAGCAGCTAGCTAGCTCGTCTTTTTGGAGATTAATATTATAGTTCAACCTGCCAAATCTCTCATGATGCGATGTCATTCGTGAAGAGTCAAAAAAGAAATCGTTTTGGAACAGACAAAACACTAGAGTAAGATCTGGGAAATGTCTCGACTGGGTTAGGGCTCAAGGAGAAGTATGGGATCAAATATAATTAAGTAACGGGTATCATTAATAATATAACAATGGTTGAAATAAATAGATTTTGCAAAGATTTGGAGGGAATGGAACCAAAGACCCAACTACCTACTTCACTCCCACTACCCTCATTGTTGAGTGGGGAGGGTGACATCGAGATGTGTACTACTACTATACTCCCTCTGAATGAATTATGATTTTTATATAAAATATATGCATTGCATGAGCTTGGAAATCCATGCTCTTTTCATATGGAAACAAAATAGCCCAGTCTTTCGGGGTCTGACCATGAAATGGAGTTTCCTCTCTGCTATTATTATTATGTTAGTAGCAGAATACAACAAAAGCGAAATCATAACCCATGAGGGATTGTCGCCATGTCATACAAAATATGTTATTAGAAGATTGCGGGGTAACCAAGACAGCATCAGAGATTGGAATAGAAACATCAAATGCATTGTTTAATGAAACCAAGGTTTGAAAGATCGATTATTATGAAATCAATGTGTCCAAAACACAGCAAAGTTTTTTGAGCAATGGAGGCTTCTATTCATTTTCAAAGCTGATTTTTTTACATATATATAGAAAAAAAACCCAAACAATACCCAATGCCAGAAGCAATGAATGCGGCAATCTCGGTTTGCTAATTGCTATGCTGCCAATATTATCATATTATAAAACTCAGTATAGATGTTGAAACTTGAACTATATACACATAAACAACTAATATAACCCCAAATCAACGACTACTCACATAACAAGCAGTGCAAGGAAGGTTCATTTTTCTCTGGGGAAACTAAAACTTAATCCAAAGAGGGAGGGGAAAGGAGCAAGTGACAGTGTGGTGAAGACAGTGAGTAGTCACTAGACAGGCAAAGTTCTTTGATGGGTGAGCAGAACTCAAGCATATTAAGCGGGAAAGGAAAAAGAACAAAACAAAACACTTTTGGGAATCCAAAATAGTCAATGATTTTCGAGCTGGTGTTTCTCCACAAAATTAAATGCTCTCTTTCTAAAATTTGGAAACAACCTATGAGCTACCATAGTGTTGCTCAACCAATTTACTTCAACTAACTCAATAAAGGAGGGAACACCCACCTAGAGAGAGATGATATAAAAGTTATCGACACCAAAATGTAGATATCACAGTTCATAAATGGAGAAAAAAGTTATTTGCTTACCTTGGAGTAGCCATTAGGCATATCTTGCACCACACAGCCAGAAGGAAGCCTCCTGCAGCTGAGAAATGTCGGCGGCGCACCCGAAGTTTCTCGGATAGTGTCCACGGAAACATCAACAACAGCCCACACCCCTTCTGCGTGCTGTTTGCAGAACCGTAGGAAATTCACCTCACGAACCGGGACTAAAGGAGAGAGAACTTGGAGCTCAGCGTGCATCTGCAGACACATCTCACAGTTAATTGCTATTATTTTTCAAGACCTAATCTTTGGATTTATCATACAATTGTGCAGAACTAAGAACAAATGGGGACTATTCAAACCCAAGAGGCAAGAGTACAAAGCTTAATCAATTACCAACTGGAGTGAGCCATTTCTAGTTCCCCCCATCCCATTGGATATGACGTCAGTGGTGGAGGTCCTGGCAATCATACATGGAAACATTTCTGCCCACCGATTCTGATAATCAAACTAGAAAAATTAATAGAAGGGTCCGATTCCATTCAAATCAAACACCTAGAAAAATCTGTCGGCTTGGGACTGAAAAAGGGTACGAAATTAGATAACTTTATCTTACCGAGTCCATCAGAGTCTCGACAAGCGCCAAACTGTTGATAATCACCATACCAGTCTCCCTAGAAGCTTCAGAGACGAACCCATTTGGTTTCAAGCCGATACACGGAGTGAAAGTTCTCATATACTCTTCCTGGTTCAACATTTCCCTACTGCCATCCAAACTCTTGAGCCAAAGAGGCTCATCAGTTTGAGCCATTTTAACCAACTCATCCATGGCAGTCAAAGCAAGTTCTAAGAGCATAGATCTTTCCAGAGACCGGTCAAGCCCGGTTCCTCCATTGGACACCGCTCTATTTTGAGGAACTATAGACATAGCATTAGAAACAGTTCCGAAATGATCAGTTGGCCCAACAGGTAATGTTGCAGCCACAGTAGTCAATGAACCGAACCCATTGCTCCCAACTCCAAGCTCCAAACTTGAATCTGGCATAGGGGGCGGCATTGAAGCTGTTAATGAAGAAATGGGGCGACCCAAGAATTTCCCGGCAAGAGCACAAACTCGGTCAAGCTCATCTTTCAGCCTAGCATTCTCAATCCTCAGGTGCTGTTCCTCAAGAGAGATGTCGCCTATTATTGCAGGACCACCGCAGTTGGAGCACATTGGGTTCCTCATAGCATCTCTAATTGACATATTTTCAGCTCTAAGCTTGTCGTTTTCTTGCCGGAGTAATGAGTTCTCATGGCGTTCCAGTTGAGTCTAATCCGTGCCAAACAATACAAGGCATCTCAGCATACCAGGAAAAAAAAAACTAACTAAAACCCATGAAGAAAAAGGGAAGCACCCATCATTACCTTCATCTGGGTTCGACGATTTTGAAACCAGAACTTGACCTGCCTGGTTTCCAGGGAAAGTCTTCTGCTAAGCTCCAATCTCTGCTTCTCATCAGGATGAGGACACTCCTTGAAAAGCCTGCAAGTAGGACCAGTGAAACCAAGTTCTAAGGAAAAAAGAAGATGAGGAAGAGAAAGAGAAAAGTTTCGTGCGAGATAATAATAGTTTTAAATAAACTAAAAAAAGGAGAGAGTCCCATACGATTCAAGCTCTTGGATTTGCTGAGGAGTGTGTCGGTGGTATCGCTTCTTCTTGGGAGGGTGTTCAGCAGCATCCTGGTCATCACCAGAACCTCCATCCAAGTTATCACTCCCAGATCTGCTCTCGTGCTCCTCTTCTCTGCTTCTCATCCTCCCCAAGCTTGACTCGTAGTTCTCACTCATCCTCCCCATATCACCTTGACCGCCCTCTATATTCGGTTGTTGCTGTAAAACCACAGGCGAACAAAGCCAGCAAACAAAAAAAAGCAAACCCAGATCAGAAAAATGGCAGAAGATCGGGAAACCAAAAGAAACCATAACGAGGGGGGAAAGGTCCGTACAAGGGCGAGGGAGAGTCCAGGAGAGCTGAACATGGACTTGGAGAAAGAATTAGGAGAGAGGAGGTGTGGCTGGACGATTGCACCGGCAGGCATGGTGTTGTTCGTAGCGTAGGCCGGTATGTCAGCCACGATTCTCGCGCCACCACCAGGGCTACTGTTCTCAAGGAACCCTCCAAAACTCATGAACTCTTCCCTTCTTCTTCGTTCTCGGACTTGATAATCTATCTTTGCGTATATATATTCTATGCTCACTGTTCCTCTGTGAATGCGCTTCTTCAGTCAGGCAATTTATCAAACACCTAGGCTTCAACTGACAGCAAACACCCCCACACTTGTTCCGACACCCCCCCAAGAAACCCAAGCCAAAGGGAAACGGGTAGAAAGATGCCGTAAACACAGAAAAAAGTGCTCGGAAATGGAAAAGGGGAAATGACAGTGGAGAGCAAGAGGAGACAGAAGGATAACTTTGAATCCAAATGTCTCCAACCTCCTCTCCCTTCAAAACTAAACCCCCTTCGTTTTTTTTTTTTTTTTGGGTTCTTCTGGGAGAGAAAGAAAGAGAAAGAAGGGCAAGCGAAGGAATGGGGGAAGCCGGAAGAGAGGACCCCTTTCCCCGGCTTTGTATCCTAGTTATTAACAAGCTCCAGCCTAGCGCTTCCTTCTCTATCCTTCTCCCTTCACTCTAAAGCCGAACAAGATCCTGTCAGGCAAGCTTCCTTGTTTGCCTCCAGCAGAGAAGAATGAAAAAATAGGGGAGCAAAATAAAAGCTAAGAAAGGTTGTGTGTGGAGAAGATGGGTGTTGTGCTTGTGGTGGTACTGCTGTGGGCGGTTATCTGCATGCTGCTGGAGCTCGACTCTCCTTTTCCATCTCTCTCTAGCGACTGCAGAAAAAGAGAGAAATGGGGCGCAAGAAAGGTGTTTGATAAAAGGCCTAGGAGAGAGGGAGAAATGATTTAAGAAAGGCGAAAAGGTTGAGGTCCTTTTTGTACAGAGAAGAAGATGGAAAGGAGGAGGCAGCGGACGAAGAAGAAAATGGAGGAAAAGGAAGAGAGAGAGAGAGAGAAGAAGAAAGAAGGTTGGGGAAGGGAGAGAGAGAGATGGATAAAACGCGATGGTGGAGGATTATGTGGAGTCATCGAAGCCTTACAAATAAATACCGCCAAAAGGGATCGGGTTGACTCTCTTCGCCCTCTCAATATCCATCCTGTGATTGACAGTGAAAATTTTTGACGAATCTCTTTTTGTTTTTCTTTTCCGGAATTTTGTTTTTCTTTTCTTTTTCTTTTCACCTATAGTTTCCAGGACGAAGGGCAGCGGGGGGAAAAATGGCAGTATGGGGGTGGGGGGTTTCTTTGTGACATTTTCTCACTTTCTACTTTCCCTCCATTCTTACTGCTATCATCTCAATCTCTCCTTTCCTACTGCTTGAATTTTTTTTGTTTACCTTTTACTACTTTTTGGTGGTGGTTCAAAAAGTGTCAAGACATTTCTTTTAGGGGTGTTGCATTGAGTTAGAAATTCAGAATATAGCGATCGAGTACGATGACATTTAGGTGTGACCGAAAATGTAATTAGATGGAGCTAGACAGTTAATATCAAAATGAGGAAATTAGCGTTTATAAATTTTCGCATGTCGCATCTCTATTTCTAGGGTTCTCATAGGGTCATGCTCTACGGGCATTTACTTTTTCCAAAATATAAGATTTATAGAAAAATCTCACGATACCACATTTACATAAAAAAAAATTAAAATACACAAGTTTGGGGTGGTTAGTTACATTGTTCAACGATTTTGGGAAGCATATCGCTTCAGAAAGAATCAATCTAGATGGATCGTTTTAATCTGGGCAATTTGCATGTGGATCGCTTCAGTTTGGAACAATAAGCAGGTGGATCACTTCATACTAGAGCGACATGTTACTAACATATGTCAAATTTTTCATATGAGCGTAACTTTGCGTTCGGTTATCCGGCAGACAAAAAACGTTTTTTCACACGGATTATAATTGTTATTAATATTATAGGATAATTTTCAGAATGTACGCTACAATCTAAAGTATGCTCTTTTTTTTTGAAGAAACAATCTAAAGTATGCTCACGACCGCAAAAATCCAATAATATGCCTTTTCCAAAAGTTGTGCCCTCATAAAAGTTCTAGTACTTGAAAAGCTATGCCAAACAAAAAAATATTGCCTCTTTTTTATGGCAGGGCATAAAATGGCTCATATGAAGCCGTAAACGACCTTATTTTAGAAGATGAAGGTAGACTAAACATCATCTGGCATTTATGTTTTCTTAGATTTCAATCACTCTCTTCTTCTTTTGGGGGAGTAGGGTGTAGCCATTTCCGCCTTCCTACATTTTCATAAACAATCTTGATTGTCGCTTGTGACATCATGATTTCAATGCCACTATAGCCTTTCTTTAGCATGTCGCCTAGCATTGAGGGTTCTCCACTCTTCTCGAGTTCGACTGCCTTAAGAGAGCTACTTAGTTGAATCTTTTAGGTTTTCTCGTAAAGGAGGAGATGACGCACTTTCTCTCTCTGTTATACACTTTTTGTTCCTCGTAGGAAAATCAATCATCAAAGGAAATAGTCGATTTGCATGAATTTCTGCAATATGGTAACTTCGTTCTACCTTTCTCTATACTCCTTGCTTGGTCCAATGAGAACATTGTCTCATTTAAAGTGTGGGGTGTAATTTAGTTAGTATGTTCATCATCTGATATACCATGATTTTTTAATGTTCGTGCATTTGGGGAAAGGGTTTTTGTGTATGCATTTGAATCAAAATTTCAAAAAATTTGAGTAATGCCACACTCTCAAAGCAAATTCGGAGTTCATCATACTTTGAATTGCTAGTCTCTATGTTAATACGTGATTTAAGGGAGGCTAATGTACGGGCTATGAAGGATGTCCTTGTCATGGAATTTGGATCTATCTTAAGAAAAATGTATGGATTGGTCTTCCTACCATCCTTTTCGAGCTATCAAACTCATCCTCATAGGAAGGAGTCTTATGCACCTAAAGCAAAAATGGGGTTGATATGTAGTTTCGTACATTCTATATCCTACCACGTAAAGTCTACATACAAACGATGTCATTGCAAATAATAAAGTGTGGGGTAAAACGCTAAGTGTGTGGCGTCCTATCCTTGGAAAAAATCGGATTTAGAAGATATACTAGTTGAGTCTTTGTGGGTAGGCCCATGAGATGATGCTAGTTTCTCACTAGTACAAGTAAATTTTCCACCCGTATGATAGGATTGCCAACTTGAGGATGTGTTTTCGAGAGAATGAATAAAGCTTCTCACACCTCATGACTTCATTTACCCTCCGCATGATCGAGGAAAATGAGCTAAAAACTGCTCTTGCTCAATCAAGGCTGGCTAAGTAGACTAGTGGACCACTTGTCAGTCATAGGAACATTGAGATCCATGTTCTGGAGCCAAGATTCAAAGAGATGATGACATAAAGAAACGACGTTGCAACCGTCGTTTTACATAGCTCAACTACTTCGTTAGAAAGTCACTTTGGAGCCTCCTGATTCGCTGGTCACGTGTTTGGAGCCTTCTATTTGGTTGGATGACGCTTGAGCTATGAGATTTCCTCCTTAAAAACCTAATCAAATGCCAATAAACAGGCCTCTAGATATAGAAAATGGGAGGGAAAGAGACGAAAGGTCAAGGAAGGTTCGTTACCCTACCGACAGAGCAACCCTCCTGATTTAGAACGAGACCAGCCTTTGAGGGAGAATTGGCGGCCTAGGCCTTGTTTTCTCTGCTGGTGAAGCCAATTCGTGTGGACTTATGGGGTCTCCTTTCAATCGATGAACACCAGGAACCCCTCCCCATAGATGGCTAGTTCCTTAGTTGTGTATGTATGTGAACTCTATGGATTCTAACTACGTAAAACTCGATCTTTGGTTTAATACAATTATTTTTATTCATATGTGTTGATGTTTGATTTCTTCTACTTTGTTATTTGTCTATTCGAATGAGAGCCTAGTCGACCTCACACTCATTCGAGGTGCAAGGATCAAAATCCAAGTCACTTATGATTATGACTAGAAATGGTGCTCCTATTCGATCATACGTCACTCAATCAAACAACATAAAGCCTCAAGAGATAAATCCAAAGGGTCGTTGTCACCCATTAGTTGGGGTAAATGCTTGGACACAAGGCGGGATCTAACAAAATAAGAAATCGGCAGCTCGTATACCACCGAGAATCGAGGATCGCATGGTTAGGAGACCTGGGGGAGCTTGCCTATGCAACACCTTCATTCTCTTAAGAGATAAGTAAGAGATAAGAGAATGAAGGTTACTCTTTAAATCTCACGTTCTGCAAAATCAGAGGCACCTAAACCTCCTAAATCACCCTCTTCTTCAATAGAATCGTACCTTGCTTCCAAAGTAAGTGTTATGTGGGAGACTCTAGGGGAAATACGATACCTTAGAGCCATTTAAATTTGGTTCTATTCTACAATACATCAAAGCTTCCAGAAGATTTCGTACACCCTAGGTATCTCTCCCTGGCCTCTGTAAGGGTCTCGTCATCTTCATGTGCAAAGTGGTGAATTGCTTCTGCAAATCCGCAGTCTTGGAAGTGGGATGATAGCGGACCAGGAACTTCTTCACCAAGTCATCCCAAGAACTGATGCTCTCGTGTGAACTTCTTCACAAAGTGGTGTTTGCAGCAACTTGGGATGTCGAATACGCGGTCTGAGGTCCTCGAGCCTAGGAGTTAGAAAGTACCCAATGGTCTGGGCCTCTGGTTGTGGATGACCCGCATTTGGTACATGTGGCGGTTGGTCCACATTCACGTTTCCCACTTGATTGAAGGGATCCCCCCCGATGTATTCTTCAACGACGATTTCTTATCCACTCTATAATCCGTTAGCGACGATATCCTGGTCTAGGTCCTCCGACGCAACCAGTCTCTCTTTTAGTGCTTTCATGAACTAGTAAAGATTCCTTTCGAGCTCGTGATCCAATTGCAGTAGATTGTCCAACTGGCCACGGGTCATGCACTACCTGCACACAAGCTGAAAACCAAACATGTGAAGGCAAAAGGAGGAAGAAAGAAATGTGCAGAAAGTAAAGTTAAAGTAACAGAAATTCACTTTTCTTAAATAACCTAGGCGTACTCGGCAACGGCCCCAAAAATTTGACTCGCTAATACTAACACCCTAAGAAATGACCAAGTGAAATCATAACTCAGGAATGTACTATAGTGGGTTCAGTTTTACTTATCAATTCGGGTCCTATATGTATCGACTACTAGAAGATTAACTATTATCTAGCGGTCAAAGTGTAGAGAAGTTGTTCACATGAAAGCAGAAACGAAAGCAGGTAAATGTTCTGATTTCCAAATTCGAGAAAGACCACTCAGGTAAGCGTTCCCTGGTATGCAGTAAGGCTGAGTTGTAATTCACCCAATTCAATTCAGTTGATATTTATACTGTGGAAAGTACTGAGATAGTCTGGAACCTCGACTAAAATAGACGAGACCCTTTTAAATAAAGTACCCGACGGGATACTATCCTCCACCGAAATAAACTACCAAGGCATTTTGATAACACTTTCTCTACTGGGTTTAACTCCAGTACAGAGCAATGAATCGATTGACTCTCGTGCAACTGATTCGCCACTTCCAATTCAGGTTGCTCTATTGACTTATTCAGAGGTTAAAGCAAGAATCATACAAACATGATCAAGATTTATATAACTCTAATTAATGCGTCAATTGAATATATAATCACCAATTGACTTTGATTAATGCCTAAATTGAATATATCCAGAGACTATAGTTCTAGTTCATCCGGTTAGTCCTCCAAAATCCCTGGCCTGGTAATTATGCCATGGGAACGGGAAATCGCTCCTATAATTATCCCCAGACTCCTCTCAAACATCCTCGGCTGGGTAATCAAGCCTTCAGACCGGGAGAACTGCCTAGTCCAGCTCCTTTTGCTTGTTCGTTTCCAGCTTATCATGAAATCCGCTCCCAAGCCTCTTTATACGTAATAGGACCTTAAATATCACACAAAGACAAAACCTAACCTAAAATCGATTTAATAGGCAATAATATGATCACAAACGCCTAAGATATGTGTTACTTTTTTATAGTTAAAGCTTAAGAAATGAGATACTAAATATGTGTAAATCAGACGTTATCGATAATTAGGCACCTAGTGTCTCAGCTCCCAAGCAGCACGTAAGCCATGCACCCGCCAACTCAATTCGTGTGTTCTAGTGAAACTAGCCGTAATTATAACTTAAATAAATGTGTACAAATATATTTATTTTGACTACATTATACATTGAAGAGAAATTTGAAAAAAGTTTGGATAAAAAATAGACATTACCCAAAATTTTACTAGGATAAAAGCAACAAAGACACCCATAGGCCATAGCCGGACTCTCTGTATGGAGCGTGTGAGTATAAGCCTATAAGGTGTGAAGGTCCACAAGTTGGGCCCAATGCAGCTGGGGCATCATCTGCTTCTTTTCAATTCCAAGTCCGGTTTCCCACTTAACACAAACATGCAAATGTTGTTTGATTGTACCAATGACTCGACATGTTTTGGACATAACACGAGGATGGCTCTTTTACTGTTGTTATTATGTATATTACAATGTAACGGTGATCGAGTGCAGACGGCCAGACGCAAGGAATATTATTCTGAATGGGAAATATGGGATTGGAGTTAGTTCAGGTCAAAATTTTTGATGGAGAAAACAGAGTTTGCTGAAGTTTTCTTCCTTCACGGTACCATAAAATTTGCGGCGACGACCAGGACTTTGAGGCCGGCGACCAAAACTGAGCTAGAGCTAGAGCTAGTGGAAAGTACATATCAAAACTTCAACAAAAAGCACACAGAACAAGAACCCCCTTTTTTTTTTTTTTTGTTTATTCCACCTGGTTATCACGCAGGTTAGTAATGCTGCTGCTGCTGCTCCCATTTTACAAACATGAACTACAGAACCATGGCAAATTGGCAACTTTACTAAAAGGTGCTTTCTAATCTTCTCCTAGGCTGGACCAAATTTAATGGTTTTAGACTTTTAGTTTGATGAGAGTCAGTGATTATTGATTAGTGATCCTCCAGGTATTAAACACCCATTATCTACCACTAATTCAGTCCGGTGAACCGAACTCCTATCTTGTAAATTATAGAATCAGTTGGTTGCTTTTATTAGGGATGGAAGGAATAAAAACTATAATTTTCAATTTAAGGGGTTAAAAATGGTTAAAAGAAAAAACACAACATAATCCACAATCCAAGACCTATTCAACAAACAAGATATTACAAAACCGACCGACAGTTTTGAGTATTGAAAATCCTATTGATTTATGATGAATTTGTTGCATCGTACATTTGAAAGAGTTCATAGTTTGTTTAGTTGATTTTTAATCATTGATTTATAGCCTTTTGTACTGTGGGTCGCAAATAGGGGAGGAGGACCGGTCGGTTCGGTTATAACCGTAAATCGAAGGGTCGGTTACCTGTTAACCGAACCACCTCTTAACGATTGAAAGAGGGTCTAACGCTTCGGTTATCTCGGTTTTCGGTTAACCGAACCGCCTCCCAAGACCAAAACCATCTCGCCCAGCCTCTGAACACCGACCGACTTTCGGTTATCTTGGTTTTCATTCAGTGGATAACCGGCCAATTTCAGTTGTAACCGGTCGGTTAACTGCTAATCGATTATCCAGCCCTAGTCGCAAATACTTGGAGTACGAAATGCCATCAACCCAGGTCCCACCACAGAAACCACCCCCTTAAATAATGTAGATTCATCAACACCGCCCCATTGCCGACGGTTCCTAATCGCGTCTGATGATCCTTCCCGCTTACTCAAGGTCGCTCAATGTTAGCAGAAATCCCAAATTACCTGATATGATCCTCCACATTTCAACATCGCTGGTGGTCCCTTCAGCAACTGCAACTCTCTAACCCAAACTTTGTCGTAAAGTCCTCTTTCACATTGAAAAATAGCAACTGGACGACGGCGAAGGAATGTGTCAGAACGAATGAAGAAAATAATCAATGAATGGCATTGACAATTACCCATAACCAGTTGGGAACAGGAACATAGCTGTTGCTAGATGCTACTTCTGCTTTTCTATGTACCTGTTCACTCTGCCCTAACTTGTCACTTCTGATTTGATTTGTTACAAATGAATTATATAAAAAAACAAACAAACAAACAAACAAAAATGAGGGAGAGGGTGGCCAAAGACAAGGATGAAGCCAATCTGATCTTGCTGCCTTTTGGAGTATACAGACATTTTGGCATCTTCATCTTACAAGAAGTATGAACTGAGATCAGAAAAAGAGAGAAGGGGAGTTGGAAAGACAAACTATAGCTCGGCTGCCTAAAGAAACTGAGTGTGAACAAGTCATTGAGATGCTGAAGCGAGGGTCCAGAAATTCTTGGTAGCAACCAGTATCTTTTGTGACCCATGAGATTCATCTTCTTTCTCATGCATCGTAGCAGTCCATCTAACCACGTTGGCTATGCGTGCCACCCTCTCTATCGCCTCCGGAGAATCGCGAATCACCACTGTTCCTTCTGGCCGCAGTATCCTGTCCATCTCCACCATTAGATCCACCAGGCTACACCTGCACGCAGACAAGATTGACAAAGTTGAACATCGGAGAATGTCGGGAGGAAAACAGGCATTCAAAGGAATGGCTTGCTTCCAACAGTAAGAGCCTGCCTTCACTATGAAACATTGCATTTTCCTAATGGGCGTCTTTCTCTGTCAAATGATGGACGCAGGGTTCTCTTAATGAACTTCTACGGGTGCATATCAGTTTCAGCTAACAATTTCATGTGATGGTGTGAACAACTAATTTCCATCATCTCTCGACATGTCCTTATAAGTATAAAAGAAGATGCAACTAGAGAGCTTCACAAAAAAACTTCCTAAAAACAAGTTATGAGAATTTCTTGAATTTATGAAGCCCTTCACCCCAAGATTTGGAAATCCATCAGTCCACTTTACCATATTAGCTTTATATTAGAAAGGAAAATAGTGAAGGTAATGACATTTTACTACTTTTCCATTTAAATTTGGGAAATCTGCATACCACAAGTCATCACCGGATTTCCATAAATCTATTATTTCCCAAATTCATCTGCATCTCAGAATCTATCAACAAAGAAATCCTTCAAGCAGATGACCCCCAGAACAAAATTTAATGTAGATCAAAATGCAAGCTGCAAGTACCTGTTTTTGCCAGAACCTGGAGCTTTTACTAATGATTCGATGCCAGAGACGTGGATTAGATCATAAGTGCGAGGATACGTTGAGAAGGGCTCACACCTGTGATGACAGAAAAAAAAAAAAAACAAAGCTTGGCTTGTCAGTGAACATTTTTACGGAAACCAATCATGGCACAAATCAAGCACTCCATACTGGACAATATTCTAAAAGCCTTTATGGTAGCAGCATCTTAAACAGAAGTTTGTTTAAAAGCTAAAACAAACACATTTCTCCAATCTAACTTCAGAACCACTATTCAACCTAATTCTCACAATGATTAAAAGTTAAAAACCACATCACAGATAAACTTCCATTTTCAGCTTTACCCCCTTTGGAAAAAGAATATACTCATCAGGCATTTCTCAGAACTGACTCATTCGTTTATTATTGATCAAACTATATACCAACTCATTAGTTACTTTATTACCAAATTATATCTCACCTCTCGTCAACTCCACTTATTTCTAAAATCATCCAAACACTTTCTCCTTCAGTTCTACTAAAACTTTGAAAAACGTTACTTATGTTTTAGCAAGCTGAAACAAATTCACCCCTAGATTATGTCATATAACACCGAACGCCTCTAACATGCCTTGGTTAAGTTGAGTACTTTTAACCAATATCTCACATGATTTTTAGAGTTGCTTCTACGGACATAGAACTAGGCAAGTACATGGAGGGTTCGCTGCTTCAGTTCCATTTTGAAAACTTATTAATAGTCACCGCGAGAAAACATGGTATGTATTGCTCGCCATTCAGTATAGACTTAGGTTAAAAACTTAAAATGCTAACAGGACCGAGGTAATTTAAACACCACAATAAGTAGACAGAAAACTATAGGATTTTGACACTACTGTATCAATCGATAGGTTTGAACATTGGGAAACATGGAGGAGAGGAAAGTGGAATCATTGCATAAACACCAACCAACACTCTTAAGTTGGCATCCTAAGTTTTTTGGATTCGGAGACAAGGACTCACCAATCATGGTAAACACCAATAAGGCCCCTGTCGAAGATTACATCCAAAGTTGTTGGCTTGCGAGCAGGAACAACATTCATCACCCACACAGGATCGGACGCTAGTGCTGCAGCAAAGCCACCAAAAAATGCATTCATATCCATCACATTTCGCACAGCAGGAGTTCCCAGCTTGACATTCAAAGAGTTCTTGTAATAGCCCACCCTCCTAGCCCAACGACGAGTGTCGGCCTCAAATAGGTCAATGCCACTCTTCACGAGAGCAGCCCTTGTAGGGGCTTTGTTTAATCTATCTGGCCATGTCGGAATCATCCCGACAGCATATTTTCCCTTGACTGAAGATTGAGGGGTAACACATTTCTCTAACTTAAAGTACCTGCAGCAGCAAAGCAAGTCTGAGCTTTCAAGAATAAAAGGTTCAATTCTCAAAGGATTTGTTAAACGATATTACAGCTAGTTGTTGAAAATGCAGACTACTGAGATAAAAATTGGGCCTGAATGTCAGATATAGGATAACCAGTCGATTCAGACTATCACAAATTGAGATCCCATGTACAGATAAGGTAAAAGCAATGATCATCACACAGAAGCTCTCGTGAAATTAGGGATGAAGTGCAGACAATTACCACGCAGAGCTTGGATCAATCGATTTATCACACAAGTGAAGGCCGAATTCATTTTGACTAGGCAGGCATGAATCTCCAGAAGGCTTTTTCCAAATGACAGTGTTCCCATCGACTGCAATTAGCTCATAACAAAGTGCTCTGGCTACACCCTGAAGATTTGCCCATTCCTTATCTTGTTTAGCCCATTGTACAGGTGGACCAGATATGACTAAATATCCTCCTGGGCGAAGCAAGCGATCAACTTCAATGAAATAAGTTGCATCTGCAAGCCAAACATGAAAGGTAAGGGACTGTAGAAAGTGGCCAAAGAAGCAAAGTCCAAAGTAGGGGGGGGGGGGGGGGGGGGGGGGGGGGGGGGGGGGGGGGGGGGGGGCAGAGAACTAACTGTAAGCAGTAAAAGGGATTAAGCATCTAGAGCAATGAACCAAATCAAACGAGAATGCAGGGAATGGCAGCCTCCGAGTGCCAAGCATTGCGACGAATGCCGGAATTCCTCGTTCCAACGCAAATTGTATCTGAGATTTGTGTGAATCTCTTGGAGCAAACGAAAGCGGTAGAAGCCCTTCTTTCATGAGATATCCTCCCCAACTAGCAACCTGTGAGAAATTGTTGTTAGTGATAAACCATAAAAATTGACAACACCATGATCACTTTAAGAGAAGGAAGAGAATAACACAGCTCTTACCCCACATCCCATATCAAGGGCAGTCCTTAAACCTCCACTTCGGATGGGAATATACTGTGCAAGTTTCTCTATGTAAGGTATGGCACCTTCTGGGAACATGGTGCCACCACCAGGGAAAATAAAGTACTCACCGTCTTCTTTCATCCATCCCTGATGGCCTTTCCTCTCAGCAATTTTGTTGTGCGGCATGTTTGCATGCCAGATCTACATATTTAAGCCACGCAAAGTAAAAGCTTAGCCTCACAGAACAACCAAAAAATAAACACAACGCCATCAAGACCTAACCAAAGGAATCCAAATGCAGAGACTTTAAAAGGAAAGCTGCATAAATCTCAAGATCATGCCATATATCCCGCCGCTGTTAGGCTAAGCAGTAACATACTTTCCAATTTTAATGTATACAGAAGAATCAAATCAAAGCATACGTACGGTTCATGAATTATACTACACAGTAAACACATACTTTGTGCAAACTATCCGGCCACCTGACGGGAACCCTGTAGCCATTTGGGGGAGGGATCAAGCAAAGAGGCGTCTCGTCCGGCGCCGGGCATTGACGTTCCCTATAGAAATTCATCTCTCGACTAAGCTGACTATTCCGCCTGGGATCCTCACACGGCATGTGATCGACCTCCTCGGCGGAACAAGCCTCGATCGGCTGAGGATGCTGTCCAGCTTCAATGAGCTCGACGAGGCGGTGGTGCTGCCTGGGGTCCGAAGAAGAGAGGACAAGAGCATTCCTGCCGGAGGCGGCGAGGGAGTCGCCGAGGGGAGTGAAGACTAGGAAGAGGAAGAGGACGATTAGACCGAAGAAGGCAGCGGTGACGAGGTCGAGCAGCTTCCATTGCTTAGGGTTTCGCTTGGATGGGAGGTTCAAGTGCCCCATTCGACGCAGAATTGCGGTGTGTAGGCTGGCCTGCTGGCCGAATGGCAGGTTTATAGACAAAGCTGGAAACTGAATTTCCGAATATCAGCTCAGGATGGGAAGGGAAGAAAGGGAAAGGGAAAGGGGAAGCTCCGTCAAGTGACGGAGGCCGGCGGGATGGGAGACAGGGAGTGGAGAGGAAGAGCGAGATCGGAGTTCGGTGGCTAAGTATACATGTCGGTGACAGATCTACAGAAGTAAGATACAAATACAATCCCTCTTGGTCTCGGATACGTTTTAAGATCTGGCCAATGGATAGTTCTCCCTGACAGAGAAAAAATGGATACGAAGCCTAATTCTATCCATAAAAAACAGGATTGTATATCAAGTAAGGTGAGTAGAGGTATGATAAATTGATAATGATCACACAAAAAACTTAGAGCCTTGTGCATGGTGAAAAAATTGATTGAATGGAAGGTATTATAAGTAGTTGAATTTGAACACTTCAAGATCAAGGTAAGAACATATTTTGAAGTAACTATCGTGGTTGGAGCCATCATCGTCGCTGGCATAAAAGTTTGCTAAATTTCGTACGTCGTCAAATGAAGTGACAACATGACTATAGCCGTTTGCAGTAGGTACGTTAAGGATGTTGCTGGCTGGTAAACAGTGAGCCACTTGTTCATAAACATTGATTGTAACATTAATGGTTATTTGGAGCAGTGAAAACCGAGATTTAGTTTAGAGTGAGTTGGATGTGTTGAATCGGTGTCTTTCTTATCATATGATTCATATTTTATAACATAAAATCAGATAGACTACATTCCACACTAGGTGACACATAGCTTTGGCATTGCTCCCTTTTTTCACCGTAATACCAACTTCATTCCATCGATAATTGAGTAACATGAAAGTCTTACACTTAGAAAAAATAAAAATAAAATGAGATATAGAATATTGATCCAATCAATCGAGCTAGAGACCTAGCAACTCAACTCGCTCTTGCATATTGATTTCGTGGGACTTCCTGATTTAATTTCTGAGTTACATATGAGAATAGATTCCATCCTTCCAATCCACTCCAGCAGAATCTCCATGGCAAACGAGAAGAATCTACCAGTAAAGCACATGCAAGAAGCAGACATTCCGTCTAGACAATACGTTCAAATCCAAATTTTTGAGCTAATTTCATACCTTCTAATAAAGCTTCCGCTTCAACTTCAATCAAGGAAGAACAAAATATAGTATCAACTCGACCATCACAAACTTGTCCGTGATTGTTAAACTTTAGGTATGCTCCTTAACCCGGGAGGTGTCAACGACCATCCGATCTGAGTAACAGTGTGGGGGAGCTAGATGGAGATGATTAACCGAATTGAAAGCAACGCAACAAGGTAAAGGTCATAAAACTAGAAAGAGAAATCGTGAGCTGAGAAATGGGAAAAACTTAACTGACAACTTCCACAATTTTATGGTATGTACAAAATTACCAGGTCATACACCACCACCAAATTTTCGATTCTGACGACCAAGAATTTCACTCCCAAAAGAGAGACCAATAGAAGCAATTGACGGCAACTCGAGAACAAGAGACCTGCCCCTCGCCTGCTCCACCCAAGGAAGGGAAAAAAAAAAGGAAAGAATATCAAAGCTTCCTGTTGGTCCTAGCACTGTGTTCGTGTTTGATGAGATTTGCCCTCAGTAGCATTGCCTTAACATCCCGGTCGAATTCGCTGCCAGTTTGGAGAACTCGTTGAAAGGTGGCATTCCTCTGATCTGCATGACGTGCATATAGAATTTTGTTGTGCGAGTCTATACGAGCCTGCAGGCACACAAATACAAACGATGATCATGAGGACTGTCCATGTATGATCCGGAAACAAGACACTCGAGGAAGAAAAAGAGAGAAAGCAGCAACTCCTTGAGCAGAGACCTGGATTTGATTGTCAGTGATCAAGGTTGCAAGTTCCTTCTCTAGCCCGACGACCGTTGTTTTGAAAGCATTAGCCATCATGTTCAAGTCAACAGACACAAACGGGTGTGTGTACTGAATAAGGGCCTTGTTCCGGATTTGATCATACAATTTCTCAACGTGATCATGCAAGTGCACATCCAGCAGCAGGTTTGTCTTGAGATTTGCCAAATACTCTAGACAAGAGGCATATCGGCTGGAAATACAAGATGGGAGAAGCAGAAAGTTTTAGTATCAATGACGTGACTGAACAGTCAAATCTAAAACTCCAGAAACCATCACTGAGCAAACTACAACCAATGAATGTGTAAACTAGAAAAACAATGAACGTAAAGAAAAGTTTGCCCCTACTATCCTTCGCCCTTTGCCCTCCCTATTTTAGGCAAAAATCAGTTTGTACTCCTGCAGGATACGACACCATTTCAAAATATAGCAATACCTTGCACTAATCAAAACACACCATACTTCAATACAGATTATAAGAACGTGTGATCAGCAGCTCTAAACAATAGCATGCAGACTGGATAAGGGGAAGGTGTATCAACTATCAAGCCAGTGGAATAATGAAGTCAGTCACTAGATACCATTATACATTGAAAACTCACCTTGAGTAGAAATCATTGATGAGCTCTCTCACTTCAGGAACTAATTCCAAGAAATTTCGGAAGGCGAGATTGTCTATTACCTTGTTCTGCGAATACCTTTAGCTCGGACCGGTCAAAACTTGCAAGTGCACAAAGCCCACCATATGTTGCAACGTCTTGGGGAGCAATAACTTCATTGTAAGAATTTCCCAACTCAGGACCCACTTCCAGAAACTGCAAGATTAAAATAGAAAATACATGTCCATAAATACGAGTAAGATAAAAGGTGACTCATGCTTCTCGAAACAACTTTGCAAGAAGTACAGCAAACAATGGATAACAAAGGGGAGATATGCAATTGGAAAGTTGCCGGAGAAAAATAAAACAGACATGCTCCTCATTTCAGTAACCGAAATCCATCATGATAAATCGACAGCATGGATTTGACAATGCAAAGAGCATACACCCAAGTGAACATCTAAGGTGCAATTCATTTCCATAGAGCTTCCGTAATCCTACCCCAAACTACATAACCACATTGATTCAGAACTCAAGAAACCATTTAGGAAAGGGAAAGGCTCAGTTAATCCAACTAGATTTGGGAAGCATTTAACAGCCACATCACATTGACAAGTCAAAAAAGTTAAACAAACAGAGAAAGAAGCTCAAGAGAAAGGAGAGGGAAAAACTGAGAAAGAAGCTCAAGTAGATTATTTGACAAAACCTTTCGAGCAGCGAGTTTGTACTTCATCATATCAAGATGAGCCAAACCAGAGGCGCACTTTAATTTCGCGATTGTGGTAGGGTCAAGTGCTTCAGGTGTCTGTTCTGCTTTGCTGACATAACTCGATACGTGGGAAAACTGACCCATCTCGATACTCACAAGAATGGCACTCAAACACATGTGGATAATGTGCTTTGACGTTGTGCAATAATCACGGGTGCGAATGTAACTCTTAAAAGCATCACCAAGTGCGCCGTGAGCATAATAGAAATCTCCAAAATCATTGTATCCCATTCTAATGCTTTCCTTTATCAAATTTGTCTGCAAAGAGGGAATAAAGAAACACGTCATTGAATGAGCAAGATGATTCAACACAACCTTTTACTTAATAAGGGAGCTCTTAACAAACTCAAATGGGGGAGCATCATACTAGCTACTGACAACTTCGTCCATGTTACATAAGAGTCAGTTGGACGACCAAGACTTTTCACATCTCACCGCAAACAAGCTAAGAGTCCGAATTTGCAATTCTATCTTGCATTGGCAGTCACATAGCAGTGATAGAGATCTAAAAATGCTCTTACCACAAGAGCAGTCATAATTACGGAACCCACATTGCCAGACAATCCACATAGCAAGTTTGATATTTCAACGAACTTGCTAATAAGACGACCTACCAAAGAGACTTCAACACATAAGAAACCAAGTCATAAGTCCAACTAATGCTAGCATCATCCAAAAGTCATTCACCAGCTCCTAATACTTCTCTGAATTTCATAAGCATATGCCCGAACGAAAACCCTAAGGCTGCGACGAAGGGGATTTCAACTGGACTAAGGACTCACCCGGTACGCATTGAGTTCATTCTCGAGCTTCTCCTTCCTCTGCTCAGCTCTGCGATCCACCGAGTCGCACCAGGCATTGTCCATGCCGTAGTTAGAGCCGAGCCTGCCGCCGATCTTCTGCACAACTTCCCGAAACAGCTGGGTGTTCTCGCCTTTCTTGATCTCGTCGTAGGCCATCCTGAGCGCTTCCCTCTCCATGGATGGGTTCCCGCAGTGGACGGCGATGAAGATGAGCCGCGTTATCTTAGTCCTCCCAGAGTATAGCCCCGCATAGGCTTCGATGTCGAGCTGCTCGCCACTAATAATCGGCCTGGTATGGCTCGTATCGTCGCCGCCGTTGGCGTAAATCTCGTCGTCTGCCTCCATTGCTGCCGATGGAGCAGAGCGAATTTTGGTGGGGTTAGGGTTTTGGGGCTGGGGAGTATTTTTCTGGGAGGGAAGTTCCGTGGTAAGCAATCGAACTTACGGGGACTGTACCGTCTCTCCCTCTTACACTTGGTTTTCTCCCATGACTTGAGGCGGTGGAAGGTTTTGTGTTTGCAGAGTGTGGGAAACGACGTCACAAGGTTACTACGTCGTTTCCGTTTGATCAATTGGCATTTGGTTGGGTCAAGGCGTGGGTAGGGGTGGGAAACGGTGCGGTTGCGGTTAACTGCACCGCAATTTGCGGTTAACTGCAACCGCAAAACACCCATATTAGCCAACCGCGACCGCGTCCCTCACGGTTAGCGGTTAACCAAAAACCGCAGAACGCGGTTAACGGTGAACCGCGGTTTCTGGTTGTAAAAATCGCAACAACCGAAACAGTACATGAAATCGCGGTTAAGCAAACTAACCGCGAACTAACCGCAAAAATACATGGAAAAAAAACACAGCAGCTACTGTTTTGTCTATTTTCACTTTCATCAAGCCCCTGCATATGACGACGGCGCGGGAAGATGGGAAGGGTCGAAGGGAAATGGATTTTCGACTTTCGTTTCGTCAAATCAAAACGACGGCAAAAGGGAGAAGTGGGGGAGGGGCTGGGTCGGGTTTGGGCTGCTGGGTTGGGGGTCTACTTTGGGCTGGGGCTATCTCGCGGTTAGCCTTGCGGTTATATGGATTTGCGGTTTCGGTTGTGGTTAAACCGCAAAACAGTCCATATCTCCAACCGCGACCGCAAAATAGACAAAATATGCGGTTTGCGGTTAACCAATAACCCACGGTTTCGGTGCGGTTATCGGTTTAACCGCGAAACCGCAACCGTTTTCCCAGCCCTATGCGTGGGTCAGTAAAGGAAGTGTTTACAAAGTAAATAATGACAGATGATGACACTCTAGAGTAGTGGAAAGAGTTCATGTCATGCCACAAGATTAATAAAACATGACCCTCCAAACGTGTACAAAAAGAGTAAGTCTCGAAGGGCAATCGCAGTTTAGAGGTTCATGTCGCCTCACGAGAAAGGCTATGGTCGTCTAGAAGTTCATGTCTTCTCAACGAGAGGGCCATGGACACATCTGAGAAGTACATGGCCATGAATTAAGAGGTCATGCCATGAGATTAAGCCTCATGACCAAGACCGAACGCTAAAAAATATACTAAGTTTGGGAAGACCATGCCCTCCCAAGAGAGGGGTCATGGGCACGAGTGAGAAGAGACTAGCATGACACAAGATTTGGAACAAGATTGGCCGAGGCAAGCTACCCATGACAGTTTCAAGAGAGGTACCTAAGTCACATTCTTAGGAAGTAGGGAGCAGTTCCTTTTGGGAGTTATCCAAGCGGTGGGTTTTCTACGATAGTTATCTCCCCATGGCTATAAATAGGAGGAAGAGTCGACAGAGATAAGGGTTCCCCAAACCACACAACTAACGCCTATGTCAAGTTTTATTATTTCTCTGCAAGTAGCCATAGTCGTAGTTTAGAGCTTTTACTAAATCTTCATAGGAGTAGAAGTAATTTAGTGTAGTTCTTGTTCCAAAAACCATTAATCAAACATCCTCATTCACACTGTGTTTGAAGAGGTGTGAATAATGTTTAGAATCGTTTGGGTTAGAAGTCAAATGTGCAATCAATTTCATTCAACGCAAGTTTTCTCGTCAGAAAACAAATTGGCAAATCCAATGGGACCTTTGTGTTTAACTTAATGGCACCACGATAGAGGCAACAAGAAGATGATCTCTCGCCTGGGCTTGTGAGAAGCAAGTGGCTAAGGTTGAATTTGGCCAAGACACAGAGGGTATTGCCGGAAATAATGGCATGGTGTAGACTTCGTCACCAGCGGCACCAAGTGTTGATATAACCACCAATATCATGTTACTTCACCTTATGGTGGAGGAAAACCACAATGTGATGGCGGAGAGTTGTCTAGCCTCGGAGGAGAACCGCATGTTGATGGTGGAGAACCTTCATGAAGCCTTTGCGAGAAGTACCCATAAAAGTAAGTTCTCAAATTGATTCTCTCAACTCTCATCAAGATAGGCGTCTTATAGTCAACTTATTGAGTTGTGTGACGAAAATAGAAGCGATTTAGCGAGTTGACACAACTATTAACTAAACGAGTGGCCCAATTAATGGCTCTGCCACTAGATGGTAAAGAGCCAACAATAATAGTGTTATTTGGAGTACAAACTCTCATATTGGTGGTCGGAATGTACAACTATGGTAGGAGAGCTTGTCAGTGCCATTGATAAGCCAACCACGTACCCCCTCAACGCTAGAGTTGTGGTGAGAGATCTGCCTCCTCAGTCGACACCCAAGACGGAGACTTGTCTGAACAAGTTGTGTTCAATTGCCCATTATAGATACTATACCATCTATGACACCTTTCAATGAAGTAGTTGGTGGAGATTCATTCAAATTGGACCAAGTACTAACGTATGCTTGCCCTCTCCTAATGCCACCCCTAGTGAGTAGGCAATGATAGGATTTTTATGGAGTCAAACCACCTAGATCCCAACAAGGGGGCACAGAAATCTACCACCCCACAAGCTGAAGCAGAAATGTTCAACTAAGGGCATGTTATGATGTCCAAAAGGCCACAACAATCACAAGTTACACGTGTTTGTGATAAGCCTACTAAGATTGCTAAGTCTGGACAGAAGGGCATGCCACCAATCATTGATAATGGTCATGACAACATACTAACCAAACACAACATGAGAAAACCACAAAAAAAAATCATTGGACGTTTTGGGGTGGATCGAGACTTAGGAGCCAGTGTCACGCTTACGGCGTTAACGAAGCGCTTATTAGGAGGCAACCCAACCACTAAGGTTTGCATTTCTTTTCACTTTGCTTTGGTTCCCCAGTAAATAATTCAACCTTTGAGAGCTTGCGGTTTTTTGGGGACGTTACCTTGCTCTTTTGGATCTCACCCGACCTCCAACTCCCTCCACCGTTATTCACACCTAATTCAGTAACTTTGTTCTACCCTTCTTATCTTTCCTCCATTGAGGACAATGTCGTGCTTAAGTGTGTGTATGTTGGATATATATAACGGGGCGGGTATACACATTTGGTTAGCGGGGGCGGGTATCCCTAAGAAAATGATCACCAATTAGAAATGCTCTCCCTTGAATCAAAATCTGGAATCAGCAGAAGCATATACACATTCTCACCCTGAAATTGGCCTTTCGGAAACAATGATCACTCGCTCAGTAAATAATTACCCACAATAATTCAAACAACAACTAAAAATTCTCGAAAATCAAATCTTTGAACCGCCAATTGATACGTCGATCGTACTTAATCAATGCAGTAGTTGAACTTGCAAATCACATGCCTGGCACTGGCAGGCAACTAAGACAGCTTCCTAATTCCTCCAACGTGGCCGATTACCAGCCTCTTTGTTACAAAGTATTAATTGAAGACAGTATACTACACCACTCCCAGCTCCATTGCTCCAAGACTACTAATATAGCTTAGCAAATTGTTGGGTTTAGCCGTTTAGCCCAGCAAGAAGTGCACATATACTTGTTTGTACACAGATCGAAGATGAACAAATCTCCCACGGAGAAGGAGGAGTTATTTTGGGACACCGCCGAGATTCACGAGATAGATGGCTTCTGGTACTACGCTGAGCGCATGGATGCGAGAAATACATTTATTTGGAGTTTCTATTATTATATTAGGTAGGATAATTATTATTATGGTTAGTAGAGATTTAGTCCAATTAGGTTATTCGTTAGGGTTTTCCAGTATTTCCTATATATATATGTACTTTGGATTTACGTCATAATCAATCAAGAACAATATTAAGAAGAATCTCTTAAACCCTAAACTCTCCTCTCAACTCCTAATTTCTCATCTCATCCTAGTCCAAGGCTTAGGCCGATTCCCAATTCTATTCTATCTCATCTAAATCCCTAATTCTTTCTCTCAAACCCTAAATCCCTAATTATCACGAGTGCCGAAGATCAGTATCGAGGATCCCTAGAAGCGTGGTTCTCACAATTGGTATCAGAGCCCGGTTGTGGCACTCGTACCATGGATTTGACCAACCTCGAAGAACTCTCCGTCAAAGAACTTACAAAGATGTTGAAGTCGAAGCTGGAAGCGGTGTGGAAGAACGAGGTTACCTCGTCCTTGCCGCTGTCCGCGAACATCGCGCGGCCTTCTCCACCCAAGACAGCAACGGCAGAATTGGATTTCGAAGATTGGTTGGAACAACCTGCGTTCCCAATCGAATTCAGGGGAGGTGGAACCACCACTGCTGTGATGGCCGAGAAAGCAGTAGCAGCAACGGCTGTCTTCATTGAGACGTCACCATCATCGCTGGCCGCTCGTTCACCAGTTGAGACGAAGATGGTAGATGACTCCCTGGCGGTAGAGCCGCAGACCACGGAAGCTTACACATCACCAGTAGCTGCGATGACTCAATCACCACCACTGTGTGCTACCGTTGAAGTCGCAGCTAGCTTGCTCAAGGAGAAGGAGTGGAGCAAGGTCGTCGAGGTTGCAATCGATGCTGCGATTGGAGAAGATGGTGACCTTGTTGCTTCTGTCGTTGTCCTCGACAATGAGAGAGCAACCGCTTCTGTAGAAGAACCACAGGCGGGAGGCACGGAGAGAAGCACAAGGCTGAGTTGGGTAGCAAACTGGAGGTTCCGGAAGAAAGGATCGAGGCCTGCCGAAGGGGAACAAGGGCTGCCCGTTCTTTCGCAGCCGATCTCAAGCCCGGAGGTGACGAAAGCAGTCAAAGCAGAGCAAACCGCAGAACCCTGCGATCCAAATGACGAATCGCCAATCACCGTGACTGCCGAGGTGCAGACCAGGAGTTCGGAGATCTGCTCGACGCTGGAGATAGGGATTATGGAGTGGATTTGTCGGGGTTCATCGCCGATTGGTTCGCCGGGGTTGATGGCTCACGTGAGGCCGCGAGCGGGGCGGAGAGTCCCTCTACCGCCGCATTTGAAACCGAAGCGAGAAGCAGATCAGGTTGGCCGTAGTTATTCGCCGTCGGCGCGAATCTTGCTGGGGAAATCGCGATCGACGATCATCCCAACAGCGCTAGAGCAGAAGACGGAGAGAGGGCGCACCGACTTCTCTCTTTCCACTGAATCGACGATCCGCAACGTAAATAGGCCGGAGAGGAGAAGGGCTGGATCGGACTTCCCTCCCAGCCATGTGACGAGCTCGTTGCCAAAGAAGAAGGTGAAGCAGGCCCAGAAAGAAAAAGGGGCGCCGCAATTAGCGCCACCGCTAGCCTGGCCGTCGACCGCCGAGAGGAGGAAAGCCGATGTGGGCTGGCGCTGTGGTGGTCGTGTTAGTGGACCGCCACCGGAGAAGAAAGAGGAGAGGGCGGTAGCGCGTCGGGTTCCGTCGCAATCGACGCCGGCTCCAGCCATGGCGCTGATCGACAAGGAGAGAGGGTTGAAGACAGCGGATTCGGACTGGCCGCCTGGCCGTCCGCGGGTGAACTTGTTGCCGCCAAGGAGAAGGCCGCCGGAGAACGGGGCGGGGGATCACTCGCTGTCGGAGAAGGAGGCGGCAGGTTCGCCGAGGAAGAAGGAGGCGAGGGTGGACGGCGGAGGCTGTGTTCCTCCCGCAAACCCTAGCTCGCCAAACATGGGCCACGGGTCGGCTCATGGGATCAGTGGCGCTGGACCCGGATTGGGCCGAGGAGGGCAAAAGCGTGGGCCAGAACAAATGGGCCGAGTGTGGGTTCGGGTCGCTGGGCTCGAGTTGGGCGGATCGACTCTCGGGTCGAAGAAGTCTGAACTCGCCATGGGCCGGCTAGAACAGAGGATTGGGCCGAAATCTGAGCATAGTGGGCCACGTCTGGATAGAGGAATGAAGACCAATATGTTCTATGTTTTAAAAATAAAGATGGGCTGCAAGGAAAAGAAATGTGGGTTTAAGAGCTCAGCAGGTGGGCTTGATAAGGAGTCAAGCCCGAATAGAATTAGAGAGGAGGGGAGAATGAATGGGCTTAATAGCTGGTTGGGCCACAACTTCCTTCTCCAAACGATTGAGGGCCGACCCAGGAGTGAAGGAAAAGAAGTTTGGAAGCTTGTTTTCACCACCAAGCCCATGAAGGAAATTATGGAGCAAAAACAATTCTCCGATTCTTATTTCGTGGATTTCGAAAAAGAAAAGGAAGAATTGTTCGGCTATGGAGAACGTGACATGTGTCACTTGATAGGAGAAGAGTCGAAGGACCTCGGAGCTATTGAAGAAGACTTCCTTCGCGAGCTATAGCGCAATTGGAAACGAAGAAAGCGGAAGGTAAAGAAGGCGAAAGTCAACTTCAACCTTGAGGTCAAGGTTGGTTTCAAGAGGGGTGGATTGCGAGAAATACATTTATTTGGAGTTTCTATTATTATATTAGGTAGGATAATTATTATTATGGTTAGTAGAGATTTAGTCCAATTAGGTTATTCGTTAGGGTTTTCCAGTATTTCCTATATATATATGTACTTTGGATTTACGTCATAATCAATCAAGAACAATATTAAGAAGAATCTCTTAAACCCTAAACTCTCCTCTCAACTCCTAATTTCTCATCTCATCCTAGTCCAAGGCTTAGGCCGATTCCCAATTCTATTCTATCTCATCTAAATCCCTAATTCTTTCTCTCAAACCCTAAATCCCTAATTATCACGAGTGCCGAAGATCAGTATCGAGGATCCCTAGAAGCGTGGTTCTCACAATGGAACCCATGGCGGCCTTCAGGTCGCAATTCGAGTGCCGAAACGACGACGTCTTTCTGGCATCCTTTCCCAAAACGGGCACGACGTGGCTCAAGGCGCTCTGCCACACCATCCTTCACCGCCACGACCAAGAAGAGGAAGAAGACATCTTGACGAAGAAGAACCCGCACCAAGTGGTCCCCACGCTCTGGAGTTTTCTTTCTTGCTCGGCCGCGTCCAGCACCTGCTGCTCAGTCCTCGTCGCCGATTGATGCACACTCATTTGCCCTACAGTTACTTGCCGGAGGAGGTGACGAGGAGCCCGGCGGCGGCGGCGGGATGCAGGAAGCTGGTGTATCTGGCTCGGAACCCTAAGGACACTGTGGTCTCCATGTGGCATTTCTACAACCAGGTCCATAAAGGTAATTTATTAATTATACATGTCAACATATATAATAGCTGAAAACCTAAACTAATTAGAAGAAAGAGCTTATGCAATAATGCTAAATTAGAGTGCTAATTTATATGCTTTATGACTAAATTCTCCAACTACAGGCTCAGCTGGCCCGCTCTCGGTAGAGAGAGCGGTGGAGAGCTTCTGCAGCGGGGTCATGCCTTGGGGCCCGTTTTACGAACACGTGCTGGGATACTGGGAAGAAAGTAAGAAGCGGCCCGATGAGGTGTTGTTTCTCAAGTACGAGGAGCTGTGCGGAGAGCCGAAGGAGCAGGTGAGGAAGTTGGCTTCCTTTCTGGGGAGGTCATTTCCCTCGACGACGGATGGATCAGGTGGTGGTGATGATGACGAGGTGGAGAAGGTGTTGTGGCGAAGCAGTTTCGGTCGGCTCAAGGAGCTGGAAGTTAACAAGTATGGTGCGGTCGGGGAGCAAGGTCTGCACCTATCCCATACCATCTACTTTAGGAAGGGAACTGTGGGGGATTGGAAGAACTACTTGACATCAGACATGGCTCGGTGTATCGACCAAGTCACACAAAATAAGTTGCTGGGGACTGGACTTTCTCTTGACGATTTCTTATTCTCGTTTTAGTTTTAATGGTTACATCTTACTTGAGGGATTCGAATTTGCTAATCTCTGATTTGGTGTTGTGTTTTGTCTTTGTTTATCCTCAATTATTGAAGCTTGGTTTATAATTAAGGGGTCGTTTGCTTCAAGGATTTGGATGTGGGATTTGGTTCTCAAATCCCACACATGAAGGATTTGTCCAAAAGCCATTGTTTGTTGAGCCAAAATGGAGGGTACCAAATCCGTGGGGTCCACTGATTTGGGGCTCCAAATTCGTGGGCCCCACGGATTTGTAAATCCCACCTCATACCCTGGGATTTGGAGACAAACTGAAAAACCATCAAATCCATGATAAAAATAGCTCAACAAACAAAAGATTTCCTCAAATCCATAATGTCCAAAATCCCTAATAAATCCCAAGGTTTTTAATTAGCAAATCCATAACAAAATCCTTGAAACAAACGACTCCTAAGTAGGTTGGACTTGCATCCATAAAACTTACAATTGGTGGGCTGATAAGAGGGGTTGGCTGGTTGGAGCAAGAGATACAGTTTAATTCATGAGAGCCAGCCAATGAGTCACCAACACCCGGAGCTTAAGCTTCCATGGATAACTGAATTTGAAGGTTCTGCTGTATATATTTCGGGCCAGTGTGCGCTTCTTGGTTTTGCGTTTACTGCACAGTGGAAAAGCTCTTTTAGTAGGATATATGTGTTGTTTTACTTAGAAGCGAGTTTGGTTTTGTGATTGAGAATAATAAATTTCAACTAAAATAGCAAAAATCAGTCTGTCTTTAGAAGGTCGGAGTGTGTATACAATTTATGAAATATTGTAGAAGAAATAATAAAAATAATTCTGGTCGTTTGGATGAATCAATTGCAATACGAGACAATTTGATCAACTGTCTCATTTTACAAAATGAGTAATTTAAAACAAGTCAATTCGAATCACCTGAACTAGCCCAAGACAATTATAATTGCCTCAAAACACATTAATGTGAAATTTTCAACGCCAAATTGCTTCATCCAAATTTTATGCTGCGAAACTGGTCAATCTGACTCAATTATCTCAAACAATTATCGCGGGCATGTCCGTGGCGGGTTGAAAACATGTCTTGTACATGTTTGAGATTTGAGATGAGATGAGAACATGCCTCAAACAAGTCATGTACGGATTTTGAACATGTCTGAAGTTGTTAAGGCCGGGTTCTCAACATGTTTAGGGTATTTTCGGAATAGATTCTCAAAATGTCTCGGGTATTTTCTGCATCTCTTGACATATTTCGGACAGGTTTTTGACATGTCCCAACATGTCTAGAATAGGTATCCTACATGTCCCGTGCATATAGGGGACAGGTTTTCAACATGTCGCGGGTATGTTTGGGACTGATTTTCAACATATTTCGGACATGATTTGACTATTTTTTTATTAAAATTATCTCTACATTTTAATGCTATTTTTTATTTATAAGGAAACAACTTTATTTTTCGTTACGAAAATTATATCTTAAATTGTCATGAGCAATGTAGTAAAAAACACATCTTAAGACGCAAAAACGCATGTTTTGTCGTTTCTGCTAGGCAAAATGCTTCAATTTCTATATAAAAACGTATTATGAGCAAATATGTTAAAAAGCGATAAGAGAAGGTAAAATCAGTCAAAAACGCGTTTTTGATCCTTTTTATATGTTTCTATTTGAAAGAATTTCAACCAACTTCACACCCTCTCTGTCCAGTATTGTATCCTGACAAAACAGAGGTTAGCACTTTAATCCCTATGATCAAATCAACCAATAACTAGTCTTGAACCTTTCCTCAAAGTTTGAGGGCGATCCTACTGTTAGTTTATCATGAATCCTCCCCTGAACGAATTGCTCAGCTACAGAAAAAGATGATCGCCCCTTGTCTGACCAACAACATTTGTCGATGAACCAAAAATCATACTAACGATCTGAATTGTCTGATCGTATCCCCGAGAGTATGAAATGTGTCCTACAAAACGAAAATTCTGCAGCTCATCTATTCCTCTCGTCCTTTCCTTTTCAATTCCCCAGCTCTAACTTCCCATTATTTTTGTGGTTTTTTCAAGGTTTGTTGTTAGTTCATAATTTAAAACTCATCCAAAGATTAGGATGATGTCACCATGATGTAAGCATGACACATGACATGTTCAAGAGGGACGTGGATGTTACACCATGACTTCATCAAGTGATTACTTTGTTGTTTGATGTGCGACTTATGTGATTAATATTTACTAATAATATGATTCCTCGCGTTCAATAGATGAAGAACCTCATAATAAGAAGTCTCAGTAATCCTATTTAATTTGACATCCAGATCGAAACAAAATGGTTGATAATGAGGTGTAGCTGTTAATTGGTTATACTTTTTTTTGATGAATGAAGAAGCATCATTATCTTTTTATTCTGAGATAGGACAATAGAGTGTTCGAAAAATGCTTTCCCTATAATCCCTCTCACCCAAAGTAACAAAATCAAATGAAAGCAATTCTAAAACTAGACAGAGAAAGGGCTTTTATTGCCACACTATGGGCAGCTTAATTGGCAGTCATAAGGACCGCACAAACCTCTAAGCCTATATCTAGAGCAGCGATCATCTAACGACATTCTCTGAGCACCGGTCCTCCAAATACCTGAAGGTCTACGATACTGAGTTGCCACCCTCCAATATTCTGCATCCCCTTTCTAACCATGTTTTCTATCATGCAGTATCCCCACGCCATCGAGAGTTCCTTGCTGCCGTCTCGCGCATTCCCGAGCCCACATATTTTCATCAGGCCATTCACTATAGTGAATGGTGTGAGGCTATGAAGAAGGAAATGCAAGCGTTGGAGGCTAACGGGACGTGGTCTTCGGTTCGTTTGCCGCCCGGAAAGAAGGCCATTACGCCTAAATGGGTGTATAAAATAAAATATCATCCTGATGGCGAGGTTGAACGTTACAAAGCTCGTCTGGTGGCTAAGGGTTTTACTCAGGTGGAAGGCATCAGTTATCATGATACTTTTGCCTTCATTGCCAAGCTGGTTAGTGTTCGTACCTTGCTTGCTGTCGCACTTGCTCGTGGCTAGGTTGTTCATCAACTCGACGTGAACAACACATTCCTTCATAGTGACATGCATGAAGAGGTTTACATGAAAATCCCACAGGGTTTTGCAGCACCGGGTGATAACCGTGTGTGTCGTCTACATAAGTCAATTTATGGACTCAAGCAGGCTTCCCAGAACTGGTATGCTAAGTTCACCACTACATTACTTGCCATGGGTTTTCCTTGATCATAGGCAGATTACGCTTTGTTCGTTCGGCGACAGGACTCTACTTTTGTTGCGGCATTGATCTACGTAAATGATGTGATTTTAGTTGGCAATGACATGGATTTTATCCAACGTGTCAATGAGACTTTAGACAACACGCTTTGTATCAAGAATTTGGGAGACTTAAATGATTTTCTTGAGATTGAAGTGGCTCGTTCTTTGAAGGATATTGTTCTTAGTCAGTGCAAGTATACCCTGGATTTGCTCCATTATGCTGGGCTTACGGGGGGGGGGGGGGCGTCCGAGTTCCTTTCACATCGAGCAAAATCACCAGCTTGCTCGGCCAGCTGATGATTCGTCCTCGCCCTCTTCTCTCGTTGATGGTGCTGCATACAGGCGTTTGGTTGGTCGTCTAGTACCTCATAGTTACTCGACCAGATATTGTTTATGTTGTTAACTTCTTGAGCAGGTTTGTTAATTCTCCTACTCCTCATCATGTTGCTGCAACATATAGAGTTCTCCCCTACTTGAAGACCGCTCCTGGCCGGGGTCTTCTTCCTCCTTCTGCGAGCACTCTCCAGTTGACTGCGTACTGTGATGGCGATTGGGTTGGCTGCCAGACTACTTGGAGATCTACTTTTGGGTATTTTGTTAATCTTGGTTCGGCTCCGACGTCCTGGCGCACGAAGAAACAAACTATCGTTGCGCGTTCCTCTGCGGAGGCTGAGTACTGGGCCATGGCCAATGCTGTCAGTGAAGTCATCTGGTTACGTGCTTTACTTCGGGACCTTGGGGTCACTCTGACTACCACCACTATGCTGCATTGTGATAATCAGACTGCTTTACATATTGCAGCAAATCTTGTGTTCCACGAACATACGAAGCATGTGGAATTAGACTGCTCTTTCGTTCGAGATCACGTTTCATTGGGTTCCATTTCTCCTTAGAAGATCTCCTCACAAGACCGGTTGGCATAGATCTTTACCAAGGGCTTGGGTGGTGATCGGTTTCATTACTTGCTCTCCAAGCTGGGCAATGTAATCTGCATGCCCCGCTTGCCGCGGGAGGGGAGGGGAGGGGGGGGGTAAAGGAGTGCATGTTGACTTGGCGTAGGGATAGTTTGGTCTTTTGATTTGCTCTTTTCCTCTATGCGTGTAACCCTATGAGTAATGTGGCATAGGGTTACATTACATATATATATATATATATATATATATATATATATATATATATATATATATATATATATGGTGCCTTCTACGGTACCCCGGGTGAAATCCGGGGTACCGCATACCCTGAGTATGAAAACGCTATCTAGACCTCGAATTAGCAGGGTTTTTGGGCATGATACTATACCCTAACCCTTAATGAGTGAACCCTAGGTCCTAATTATCTAAATCATAAACTATAAACTCTAAGATGTGGATTGATTTTTTTGCCTATATTTAAACGAATCATAACCGTCGATTATTATTTCTAACTAAATTGATCTTGGGGTATAAGATTAAGTGAATTAAGACCTATATTTTGATCTTTATGGATTAGAGTATAGTATCATGTCCGAAAGATCAGTCAATTCAAGTTCTAGATAGCGTTTTTTTACTCAAGATATGCGGTACCCCGGATTTTACCCGGGGTACCGTAGAACTCGCCATATATATATATATATGTATGTATATGTATTTCTCTACTTGGCTTGACTATAAGCTATAGAGAGAGTTGCGGCTGATTAATAAAAACCGATCCGAGAAGGTCTTCCTTCTCCGTGGATTAGTCTCGTCAATTCTGAACGAGGATACCACGTAAATTGTGTGTTGTGTCTTATCGCTTTTACAAATCTTTCACATTATGCTTCCACCGATCGAATAATTAGTTCACAGTCAAACAATATTTTTGATTAAGAAATCAGCGCTGATCATCAATCCCACCCCACCGGTTTTACATCACTGATAATAGCTGCATCATCCATTCTCGTTATACTTCGTTACAAACAAATGTAGACCATCCTCTCTAGGACTGATGAACAATGAACGAGGGAGGAACCGATTAAATATCAGACTCTCAATCCTTTCTATCCATCACTGCATGTTTGTTTCCTTCCCCTTACCGTCGCTTTTAACTCCCTCACGAGACAACAACGCGCGTTCCCATCACTCGCTCTCCTTGAAAACTCCACTCGTCACCCTCTCTGCCTCTCCTCTCCCCTCTTTAAAATCCACACTCTGTTTTTCCCTCTTTCCATCTCTGCACTGAAAGCTCCCCATTTCTTTTTCTTCTTCCCAATCTCATCCATGGCGCCGCCGTTCTCCAATTACCATCACCTAATCACAGCCTCCAAAATCAAACGTCCACACCTAATCAAAGCCCTCGCCGCCGTAATCCTCTGCTCCGTCTTCTACCTCATCGGATTCTACCAAAACGCCCGCGGCTCAATTCCCCTCCCCTCCCCTGTTCTAGCCCAGACCCAAAAAAGCGCCGTCGCTTGCGTCATCCCCGTCGCCGCCAACATCACCCTCGACTTCGAGCCCCACCACCGTCCCGCCGACCCCCCGCCGTCGGCCGCCGCCGTGCCGGAGCTCCCACCCTGCGACCCTTCCTACTCCGAGTACACCCCCTGCGAGGACGCCCGCCGCTCCCTCGCGTTCGAGCGGGCGCGGCTGATCTACCGGGAGCGCCACTGCCCGGCGAGCGGCGAGGAGCGGCTCCGGTGTCGGGTCCCGGCCCCGCACGGGTACCGGGTGCCGTTCCGGTGGCCGGAGAGCAGGGAATTGGCGTGGTACGCGAATGTGCCGCACAAGGAGCTGACGGTGGAGAAGGGGAGGCAGAATTGGGTCCATTACGAAGGCGATCGGTTCAGGTTCCCCGGCGGCGGGACGATGTTCCCCCGGGGAGCTGACGCTTACATTGATGAAATTGGGAAATTGATCAATCTCAAAGATGGGTCAATCAGGACCGCCATTGACACCGGCTGCGGGGTAATGTGATCTTTCCCCTTTCCTCTGTTTTCTTTCTAACCACCTGAATCGACAACCGTCCGGCGTCCGGTCGAGTAGTAGCAGTAGTGTTAATTTTGGCTGACATTTTGGCCTCTGCTTCTTCTTTTGTCTTTGTTTTTGGTATTGAATGCCGGATTCATTCTTTACTTGATTTGTCACGTTGCTGCGCCTGCCCGTGAATATTAAAATTGGGGATATTCTAATTCTGCAATATCTACTGCGTGAAGGAATGCTGGACTTAGACTAGGATTTTATTTTATTTAATTTATTTAGAAGGAAAAAAAGGAAAAATATCATTAATTTTCTTTTTTTTGGTTGGATCATTAATTTTTCTTTGACGGGCGTAAATTGTATTTACGGGCTCAATTAATTAGCGAATTAGTATTTATATTGTTGACAAAAAAAATAAATTGGCAGTTACATTAAATAATAAATAGGAGTGAGTGCGGTGACAGTGGGAGTGGGATTTTAATTTATTACAAAAAATGGAGCATTCATTTAGTTGGCTAAGAAAGTGGGTTTTAGACTTTTAGTTTTATTGTTGAGCAGGGTAGTCAAACCGGTTTGTATTGTTGTGCTGGTTTGACAAGTGATATGGTCCAATTGGTGGTTCAATCGGTATATTTCAGTTTATTGTCGGATTAGTGAAACATGTAGAGAAGTGAGAAATCAATAACAGTTAATACATTTAAGCATATATAAACAAAACAATCTTTCTGAAATCTATTTTCATATTTAAATTAAAATATGACGTTCAAACAAAATAAAAAAAATCCATATATTTAAATAGAATATTTAATGCTATTATCCAAAATTTGATACTTGAATCCAACAAATAACACAAACAATTAACTTTCACATTTATCAACTAAATCACAATTACTTTTTTATTACTACAATTCACCAAAACAATGTTATTTTATTTAAAACTCGAAAATCAATCACGCCTATCATAATGGAGACAATCAAGCCAGTTTTGTAACCGGTATCGGTTGAACCCGGTTGGTATTGGGCAACATGTCACCACCATCACAACCCTGGTGTTGAGTTTTAGGCAGCCAGCCGGCGGTAGTAGAAAGGTTACGTTTTAGATGGGTCACTAATTTCGATGGAATATTCAACGAAAAAAAAAATAATTTCGATGGAATTTTGGCTGAGAGAAGAAATGAGAATGCGTCGTTCTTCCTTCCTTAATGGTTTACGTTGTGTGTAACTCCAATAAGGCTGGCTGTTCAAAGGTCAATGAGTCCTGGAAAATTGTAGCAACTACAAAGAAAATAAAATAATAAAATTTAAATTTGGAGAGCAACAAGACCAATATAATCAGTACACCTAATTAACTCGGTTTTTGTGGTGTAACAATCAATGATATAGATAAACAGATAGATAGATAGATATCACAAGAAAAGAATTGTATAGTCATTGGATTTGAGGAAAATGGTCTTTTGCTAATCTACGCTAGCCCTTCTCTTTTTTCAAGCAAGAAAACAGAATTAACCAATGATTTTATCACCTTTCTTTGTTCTTAGAATGCAAGTCACTTTCTGTCACTTTCCTCAGTCCATGTGAAAAGGAAAGAGATTTAGATTAGATAGATAACCCAAGATTAACGATATCCTTTTCCTTTCTAATTCAATTAATCCAACTGTATTTGTATTTGGCGTTGTGGGGCTGTCACAGGTTGCAAGCTTTGGTGCATACCTGCTGTCCAGGAACGTTCTGACAGTGTCATTTGCACCAAGGGACAGCCACGAAGCTCAGGTCCAATTCGCACTCGAACGTGGAGTCCCAGCCCTGATCGGGATCATTGCCTCGATCAGACTGCCATACCCATCGAGGGCATTCGACATTGCTCACTGCTCGCGCTGCCTCATCCCTTGGGGCGAATACGACGGGCAGTACCTGCTGGAAGTGGACAGGTTGCTTAGGCCAGGAGGGTACTGGATACTCTCAGGCCCTCCAATCAACTGGGAAGGACACTACAGGGGATGGAACAGAACAATGCAGGATCTCAAGGCAGAGCAGGATCGCGTCGAGGGTGTTGCCAGGAGCATCTGCTGGAAGAAACTGGTGCAGAAGAACGACATTGCGATCTGGCAGAAACCCACCAATCATGTCCACTGCAGGGCCACCAGGCGGGTGTTTCGCCAGCCCGGGTTCTGCACTTCTCAGAACCCTGATCAAGCCTGGTTGGTATTTCATTACCCTGCTTTTTCTCCTTTGAATTTCATGAATCTGTTAGTTGGTAGGCTAATTGGAGTGATAGTTAGATACCAAAACCATCTGGATGGTAAAAGGGCAGCTGGAGTCTGGACCCAATTGAAAAATGGACATCTTCTAAGTTTGTCAACTTTTGCAAGTTAACCTGTCATTATCTTTACAAGGAAATTGGCATTTTGCTTCAGCTTTTTTGTAATTTGCATCTTTCCTTGTGAAACAAGCAAAGAAAAAGGGGCAATCCTCAGATAACATTAAAAAAAAAACCCCTCTCTTTGTCTTCAGGTACACAAAATTGGAGACTTGCATAACACCACTCCCTGAAGTATCTGACATCAAGGAAACAGCAGGTGGGTCACTGCCCAAATGGCCCGAAAGGCTAGCTGCGATCCCTCCGAGAATCCGAAATGGGAGCCTTGAAGGAATCACAGCAGAGAAGTTTAACGAGAACACCGAGCTGTGGCAGAAACGAGTAGGATACTACAAGAGGGTCGACCAGCAGCTTGCCCAGACCGGTCGCTACAGGAACTTGCTCGACATGAATGCATACCTAGGTGGGTTCGCAGCTGCGCTGGTTCGTGACCCGGTCTGGGTCATGAACGTCGTCCCTGTTGAATCTCGAGTCGATACCTTAGGAGTGATCTACGAGCGTGGCTTGATTGGCACCTATCAGAATTGGTAATGCTCTCCAACTAACCATTTGACTAAGATTTTCTATTATAGGATATGATTGCTGCTACCTTCCAACTGGAGTTGCTTACCTAACAAGAAAGGGAGAAGCTAAACTACTTAAATTGCTTACCTAACAAGAAAGTGACCCTATTACCCTAATGCATATGCCCAAGCCATATTGTCAGTGTCACTCTGACTCTGAACTCTCTCTATCACAGGTGTGAAGCCATGTCAACATATCCAAGGACTTATGACTTCATTCATGCTGATTCAATCTTCAGCCTCTACAAGAGCAAGTAAGCCATTCTAGTAGTGTAGCATGTAAAGTGCAATAACTGAAATGAGAGGAACATGGTGAAAAAGGTAAGAAAGCTAACAGCAGCAAGTGTATGCAAAAAAATTGGTTTGCAGATGTGAAATGGAAGACATTCTGATTGAGATGGATAGAATACTGAGGCCACAAGGGAGTGTAATTATAAGAGACGATGTGGATGTGTTGGTGAAGGTGAAAAGCATTATACAAGGAATGCAATGGGATGGAAGGATTGCAGACCATGAAGACGGTCCAAGGCACAGGGAGAAAGTACTGTTTGCTGTCAAGAAGTATTGGACAGCACCACCACCTCAAACGTAATAGAGCAGAGAAATATATGCAAATTAAAGTAAATCTGGATTTTATTTTTTTTTGGAAATTCATGCATTTTTTCCATCATATTAAAAGTAATAGGTTGATATCGTTTTGACATGTCATATTAGAATGATGATTATGAGATAAGTGTAAACATGCACCAAAAAAAGTGAGTACATCAGGGACAAAATCATATATATATATATAAGGACGGTTTTTAAGACCTTCAGCACATAGCCTCCAAATTATACGGACCTCATAGACCTCTATATATGCTAATTAATGTTATGGAGTATTGGCTTTTGAATGTAACTTTTTAATTGGATGTTAACCATCACAGTTACCAAACAATAAACATTTTAAAATCTATTTTCAACAATCTGGAGAGTTGTAATCATTAGATTATTGATAATTTGTAGATTTAAACTCATATTCTCCAAACGACTCCTAAGAAGTTTCTAGTATATTATATTTGAACAGAGCCGGGCCGGTTTTACCCGCTCGTAGGACATGGGCCAAGCCCAAAACATAAGAATCCATGACGGGCCTGGGCCGGATCTGGTGCAAAAGTAAAATCATAGGTGGACGGATATTGGTATCACACTGCCCGTTCCATTTTGTAACATTACCATCCCTACATCCGTTTTGGCGGTTTTGAAAAATAAATAAATAAATAAACTGATAAGGGAAAGGGACGGCCTTGCTGCTGGCTGGGTCGGTTGGGTGGCTGCCTCTCATCCTTCTTTAATTCTTCCTTACCAAACTCAAAACTCCCCCAGATCTTTCTCTCCTTTTTTACCCAATTCAGTTTCAAGCCAACCCACCAGCACCCTCGCCTTGAGCAAACTTCAATTAATCAATTCTTTTTAAAGCAAAGAGGGAACCCGATTCAGAGTGAGAGAGAACAATCTCAAGTCAAGCTCAAGATTCATACTTTCGTGTTCTTCTTCGAATAAACAAAGGTGATATGCTTTGCTTCTCTTCCTAAGCTCCAATCGTTCTGCATTGCTTCGATTTTTTCCGCTCGATTCTTCCGTTCTTCGTATCTTTCCCCCCCACTTTTTATTAATATTTTGTTTCATCTCTTGTCCTGTTCCCTTTGATTTTCTCGCTTCCAAAACCCTCCCCCTGAATTTCTGTTGCCGTTTTCGACGTGCATTTGCTCCCAATCCTTCTTTTGGGTCGGTGCCCAGCCTCTTGCCAGGACCGATGTTTTCCTTAAATGGGGTTTTTTGGCTGGAGGATGAGATGATGATGGTGTAAAGTTGTTTAATTTGATTCCGCGTCTGTGACCTGTTGTTGCCTTGCTGAGACTGGCGCCCTGCTTTTATGTTTCAGAAAGGGAAAATCCAACGAGGGTTTCCTTCTTTTTCCTCTACAATTAGTTCTGCGATGGGGAGTGGTATGGATTTCTTCAACTGGCTGGATTACGATGTGTTGATGAAGATTTTATTGTGCTTGGATGATCCTGCTGACCTTGTCCGCGTCAGTTCCGTCTCCCGGACTTGGAGACATTTTGGTAAGTCGCACTTGGCATAGTTCAATTTCTACTTCAAAATTTTCATTATTTCAGCAATTGAACACCTTTCTGATGTTATCTTCGTGGAACGCCAATAGAGTTTGTTCCGTCAAATTGGTACCGAAAGTTTCTTGCTTTATGTTCTTGTCTTCACATCCCAAAGAATGCCTTGTATGTCAAGTCCCATTTTGCATATGTTTTGACTTAGTTCGTCAGAAGTATGTACCACCAGATGGTTGCAAGACATTGATACTGAACAAGTGTCCTAGCTTCTTGAATTTTGAAGTGTTTCAGAGGGATGTTTTTACCTCATTTTCCTGTCATAGCATGAGAATGCTCGTGTATATGTCCAAGTTTTTTTTTTGGCCTTGGATTGACTTAAATACACGCCTTTTGCAGTTGTCACAAATGGTCTTAGCAGGCAGCTCTGCGTGAGAATGTTCCCTACTTTGCATAGACTTGACCATGTCGTTGAACCAAGCCGTTGTGTTAAGGATATTGCAGAAGTTGGTTGCAGCAGATATGTGGAAGATGAAAATCTTGGGGTGGAGCACAGAGCTTTTGCATTTCTGGCTCGTTCTTGCAAAACTTTCCCTTTGAGAGATTGTATAGGAGAAGCAATATGTGCTTCTAGCACAGATAATTATCCGGATGAGAGCGTTCGTAATACCCTGGAACCACATGAGAGAGTTGGAAGGCGGCCTTCTTATTGGTCAAGTAAAGGACAAACCACGTCTTCGGTGCCTGAGACGCTCGTCTATAAGCTGTCCAGTGATGTATGTGTGGTTTCTGAAATCAACATAAAGCCATTCGAAGGTTTGACTTGCTCTTCTTGTGGTATGTTTGATGTCCTTTTCCTTCAACTGTTTAGATGGCATGTAATGAAAGATTGTTCTTGTTTGCAGCTTATTTTCAGTGGGGTTCTCCTATATATTCTTCCAAATCTGTAAGATTTCGGTTTGGCCATCCCAATGTTCCATTGGATGGGACCATGAGCGAGCCATGTGACGGCTTTTCTGCTGAGAAATTCACATGGACTTACACTACCGCTGAGTTCCCTATGGCACAGGTAACTAGAGCACTGGGAGACATTTAAAAACTACGCCTGCCATTTGAAAACCAACCACTATGTGATTGGGCGGGTTGAAGTGGGTGGGTACGATCGGATCCAACGGCCCACTAGTCGCTCCTAGTCCTGATGGATGATTCTTGTGTCAATTGAGTTTTCTATGTCTCTAACCTAATGATGTTGAACAGGAGAATCAACTACAAAATTTCAAGCTTCCTGAACCTGTTCTTTGCATTGGTGGAATGCTGATGATTGAGCTTTTAGGCAGAGTTCAGAAACAAACAATGGATGGGATGTTCTATATATGGTTTGTTCCAAAATCCTTTGAATCTTTGAATACTCTTTTTAAGAAATTGTGTTTCTCCGTAGCCCTCGGTATGTTGATTCCTGTCCCAAGGGTGAACATCATAAAAGCATTGATGTTATCTTATCAATCTCTTGGAGCGAGTGGAAAAGTAGAGAACTATAGTCTCTTTAGAAGCTTGTTGATTGCTAGCTAAAAGAAAAATAGCAGTTTTGCTTTACTGGCCTTTTTTTTTTCTTGATGGGCTTTACTGGCCTTTTTTCATAGGCATGCCTTCATTTACTAGCAGTGGCCTTATTCTTTCTTGATCCGTAGTAGTAACTCCACCCTAGTTCTGCTGTTTTCTGAGCCTTGCACAGAATTTCAACATCTTCAGCTGCTTTTATCATATTGTACATCATTCATTCGCTTCCCGTCAAGCTCCTTAATGCCTGATGGATGTATAGATTCAGTTTTCAACTTGCTCCGTGGAGGCCCTCCTAATGCACTTTCTGGTAATGCAATCTTGCAGCATCTGTCACGTCCAAGTCGTGGGTCGCCCTTTATCACCTGCATTTGGGGTAGAAATCTTGGAACCTTCTGGCCATTTCACCTTAAAGGCACTGAGCTATGATCCCACCTTACCAGAGCAGCCTTCACCGACTGCGTATTTGCAAGGGCGGATAAGAGACTTGGAGCAGATCTTGAATCTATTAAGAGACCAAGGAGTAGTTGTTGAGGAGTATGATTGGAACGGAGACGAGGAGGTCGACGATGAGTTTGAGGAGGACTTCGCTCTCTGAGCCCCCTCGACAGGATTCATAAAGCTAAAGCTTGTGTACCTTGTAATATTGGTATTTCATGCATCTCGGTCAACCATAATGCTCTCTGATTATCAAAAGAAGAACAGAAAAATAGGCATAATGCTCTCTTGATTCACCTAGTTGATGCGGGAGAGTTATGGTCCTTGAAATGCTTTTGGTACCTGCTGCTCTCTTGGGGCCATGTTAGTATTGTGTATTTATTTCCAGACTACAAATAGTAACAAAGAACATCGTGTCGTCGTTTTTCTTCTTTTCCTTCTCTTTGGTGCATGGCATGGGTACTATAGTTTTAATTCTTTTCTGTCATAGTTAGAAACGGCCTCCGTGCCACAAGGATGGAATGATACCCACATCTCTATGGTGCCCAAGGTTGATCACCCATATCCAATTTCACACTACTTGTTGCTGCAAGTACTTAAGATATAAAATCATCTCGAAGATCATGGCAACTCGACTTAAGAAGTGAACCCCTTCTCTTGTCTTTGAGCTATAAACGCATTCATTGGGAGTCGTCTCATACTAGACAACGTTATCATTGGTGGTGAAGCCCTCAATCATTTCAAATACTACAAGTTGGAAAAGAGTAGGATATTGTACTTGAATTGGAAATGAGAAAGGCGTCTGACATGATCGACTGGGATTGCGTGGAAAAGCTCCCGAGTAATTATGGATTTGATGATCGATGGTCCAATTAGGTCGAATCGTGTATCTGCTTTGTCAAATTTTCCATCCTTTTCAACGAGGAAGCCACTGAGCCTTTTTACCCATCTCTGGCCATTGGTCTAGGAGACCCTCTTTCTCCATTTCTTTTCATTTTTATGTCTAATGCTCTAAACTTTCTTATTAATGTGGTCGTTTTTGAAGGTCATATAAAAGGTATTAAGCTCTATCCTAGATTTGTCATTACTCAGTGGCTCTTTGCCTGCATAGATTAAGAGCATATAATTACTCACATCGGGTTTGTCACCTCCAACTGTCACTCTAAATATATGTGGGAACTCTAGGAAGGAGACCTTATATTTTCTTATCCAAAGAATGGGAAAGATGGGTGAAGCCTAGAAGAGTTTCCTCCTCACTCATAAGGCTACCATGTTTTCCATAAGGCTAACACAAACTCTCAATCGATGGGAAACACAAATAAGTGGAACTGGATATGGGATTGCAACTCCCACCATAACTGGAAATCTTCATTTGCTTAGCAAATAAGGAAAGGCTTATTTAGCAAAAATGTTCCCCAAACTCAAGATGCGCTCTGCGCAAAAATCCCAATGAATATATCTTCAATTGCCTATTTGCCTGCATCCATGCAGTTAGCTTTTGGAGCAATGTGTTTCCTTCCCTATCCCTCACCTCTTAATCCACATCATTCTTCAACTGGTCTACTCCGTTAAGGAAGTTATCCATTTGAGAATTTTTGAGTCATGTTGTCTTCATCTGCTGGAATATCTGGAAGGGAAGAAATGAGAGGAGTTTAAAAAATTGGGCTCTCTGGCCCCTAACATGTGTTTACAATCCTATAGGATTTCACTGACTGGACTTCACGCCCGAGGATCCGCCACTCAATCAACCTTTTAATAGTAAGCTCAGGGGAACCTAATCTTATACTACTCCATCGCCAAGTACTCACCCAATGGTGATTCACTATGAGGGGTAGTTCCTATACGATTCCCAATCGATGACATACGGTGTTGTGGTCGTTAACCATCATGAACAAGTGTGTGCTGGGCGAGCTGATACTCTCCTTATTATATCCCGATTCCCGATTGAAGCTGGAAACGAAGGCCTTTTGGAAGGTCTCAAATTAACACAAGAATATGCTAGTGAATGTATAGTCCAATCCAATTGTCAAGTATTAGTTCAACTTTTATCTCAAGAACCATCGAGATGGCCATGAAGGGATGCGGCCTTAATAGGATCAATGGTCTCAATCCTTAGATTGAACCTTCAAATTAAGGTTAAGGATTTTTTTAGGAAGCTTAATACTCGAGCTGATTGGGTGACTCGTTCTCTAACGAGATATGCTCTTCCAAATAACTAGAATAATATTCTAGATATAATTTATTGGTGTCTAGCAGCTGTAACTTTGTTTTACAGTGATAAAACGGTGATGTTACTGTAAGTTCCTCCTTATATTGCTTCATCCAATAAACTCCTACTATTATATAGATAGAAATTGTGACAAGAAACACCGACACCGTTTACTCTTTTAGACAAAAAAAGAATTGACATGATTTATTGAACATTCGTTTATGTTATTTTAAAACCAGTCTTCTTACATAAAATTTATGCACAAATTTGTGAACCAAACAAGGTTATGGATCAATCCGATCATCATATGTGAACTAAATTATCACAATATCCATCCAGCAATTTCGAAACGCCCAATGTATGATCTGATAAATATTCATTTTGTAAGTATGTTCACACAGATGAATTGTGAGCACCATAATTGTATTTGCTAAGATGAGAACGGACTAAACGGCGGCGTTTCTGGCAATCGTCTAAATACAAAGCGGCAGAGGATTTGTAGTGTAGCTGGGAAGAGTAGAGCACCAAACAAGCTCTTGTCATCGTTTTATCGCATCGTCGTAAAGAGCGAGTGCTGACGCGGGCGGGTGCGTATTTTCCTAGAAAATACGTTTGGATTCAGAGGAAAAAAATTAACTTTTTTTTGTGGTTTTCGATGCCAAATCCCTAATCCGCTCCCCCACCTCCGGGCACTCTTTTCGGTACTTTCGCCATCTCTCTTTTCCTCTTCAATCCTCTCCCCACTTGTGGATTTGGAGGTGGATTTGTCCGTACTCCTGTCCTGTCTTCCCAAAAGGTCGATCACTATTCTCCTCTCTAGCTCTTCTTCTTCTTCTTCTTCTTCTTCTGGTTCTTCTGGTTCTTTGGTACTTCTTCGTTTCTAGTTTTATCAGTTTACAGTTTCCATTTCCATGGCGGATTGTATAGAATTGTCTTGCAACTCAACATGCCTTGGTTGTGAATTCTTCTCCTTTCTATCTCCCCCAGTTGGTCGGAGATTTTAATTTCCACAGCCTCGTTGAATTGTCGATGAGGGTTTTTTTTTTTTTTTTAATTCCCCCTCTGCTTTTGAATTGCGCGTTTTATTGATTTGTGAAATTTGGATGGGAATGGCTTAGTGTGATACTGAGGAAGTATCACGGTTACCAGTTTTGTCAAGGGTTTGATTAGGACACGGCTTTTCTGACTTAACTGCTGTTTGAGCTTTCGCTTCTGTTAGTCACCTGGGGTTTGTTTCTTATTCACTGATTTGGGTTGATGTCATTGTTTTGGGTCTCTGCCTGTCCATTTCCTCCCATACCCTGCTGAGTTTCAGAGGTTAATGTTTGAGAAAATCCCTTGAATGAATGACGCAGGTGTTCTTTGAAGTAAAAAGATGAGTACTTTGGATGCCACAAGAGCTGAACTTGCCCTCGTAGTTTTGTATCTGAACAAGGCCGAGGCAAGGGACAAGATATGCAGGGCGATTCAATATGGCTCGAAATTCTTGAGCAACGGCCAACCAGGAACTGCTCAAAACGTTGACAAATCCACCAGCTTGGCAAGGAAAGTTTTCCGTATCTTTAAGGTCAGTTACAGTCGGTTTACATTCTGTGTTCGCTTCTGTTGTTCCGGTTACAATCCATGCCTTACCTGACTTTGTCGATAAACTTGCAGTTTGTCAATGATTTGCATGGTTTGATCAGTCCGGTGCCTCAAGGAACTCCTCTTCCTCTTGTTTTGTTGGGAAAGGTATGTGTGAAGCTCTACTAATGAAGACTTTTATATGTTTTTCTTTCTGCTCTTTCTTTTGCTCTTACATGACAGTTCAGTGTGTTACTATTGCAGTCGAAAAATGCATTGTTGTCCACGTTCTTATTCCTTGATCAAATTGTTTGGCTTGGTAGAAGTGGCATCTATAAGGTACGTTGTACTTTCTTGATCACATATCAGAATTTTAGATTGGAGTTTGGCAATAGATTCTCAGAACCTCCTCCTTATTCTTTTTTTATTAGAACAAAGAACGAGCCGAGCTACTTGGTCGCATATCTCTGTTCTGTTGGATGGGGTCATCGATCTGTACCACATTGGTCGAGGTTTGTGATTGAATTTAATTTGTTGTGACTTGTGTCCAAAGTGAATCTCTACACTAACCCAAACCCCAAGATGGGTTATTTTTTGGTTTGGTTGAGATAGTTGCATAATGTCCTAGTATTCTCTCATACCAGGTTGGGGAACTTGGTAGGCTGTCTGCATCTATCAGTAAGTTAGAGAAAGAGCTTAAGAATACTGATAAGCATGAGGTATGAAGCGATCTATTTGATACCCTGAACTCCTGATGTTTCGTTTTCTGCTTTCCAGATGTTTTATGACCTGGTTGCTTTTGGTACTCTTATCAACTGCAGAATGAGCAATACCGTGCGAAGCTCCAAAAGTCAAATGAAAGGTCACTAGCTCTCGTCAAGGCAGGCATAGATATTGTGGTTGCAGTTGGGCTTCTGCAGTTGGCACCCAAGAAAGTCACTCCTCGTGTAACTGGAGCCCTTGGATTTACTACCTCTTTGATCTCCTGCTATCAGGTACGTATTATACGCGTATTGTGAGGCCTATATAGTGAATGCACTACCTAGATGTTAGGGCAATTATTTCCTCTGCTGCCGCCAGCAGTTTGATATAATCTATATGTTACTCGAGCTCAAGTTCCTGTGATTTCAAGTTGCTATGACTCAGCATATGAGAGGTGCATCGTGATCTGTGGTGGCGTGAATTTGATGAGCTTACCATTTCCCCTGGTTTTGCTAATGTAGTTGCTTCCATCGCGACCCAAGTCAAAGATAGCCTGACGAGGATCGGCAAGGTTTGAACGAATGTGATGGTCGAGGCAAGGATAGCTTGAAGGTTGGCCAGAAGAATACACTAGCTAGCATGGAATGTTTAGGTGCCATGCTGAAGAAAAGTTTTAAATAATTGGTTTAGTGTTTGTCATATAAAATGCTTGTTTGGTGTAAGCTTTTGCTTTTGAGTTTCAAAGACCTCATGTCACCACCACATTTCAATGGTCCTGCATTCGTGCTTACTGCTTCGTTCTGCAATGGAATAATAGTAATGATGTCTGATTTGCTGTGTAACGAAATGTCATAATGGTTCTTCTAAGTTCTAACCCTGTTGATGAAAGTTGAAGTTAGGGCTCCACAGACATCATTAGTACACAATAATTTTATGGTACAACGCCAACCTCTTTACTATGCTTTTATGCTATCAGAGCACAAAAATCACAAACCAAACTGACGGCTGTAACCAAACAGATCCACAATGATGTCATGTTAGATTGTTTTGTTTTGTTTCACTATCCTCAATTGTTTGAACCAGCACGCATTGCCACCATCATCCTCACTCCTTCCATTCCCCGTAACAAGATAGAATTGTGCAAACCCAAAAATGCTCTCCCACTGCAA